TTTTCGGCCGCCTCCCGAAGCCTGGTAGAGGCTATCTAAAATCGGGCTTGTGGCTTCCCCCAGCCGAAGGGAGAATTGTGTCGGCCGGGGTCTGGCGTCCAGCCTACAAGACACCGAGACAAGTCACGATACCTTCTTGTAATCTGATGAAAGATTAAAGACGTCCAGACAAGACGCGACAAGCGAGTAGAATTTGTTTGTTTTGTCGCCGCTGTATCTTCCACCGCAGCGGATGGTTTTAACTCCTCTGGTCCGTCAAAATGCCAAACGTGAAATAATTGATTTTCAACACTGAAATCCGGTAGCCATATTTTTCGTTCAAGTCAGCCAACGTTTAATCTCCAAGCAGATGTTGGGAGCTTTTTCTTTCCTCGTCTCAGGATGAAGACAGAACATCGAATTATAAGCCTTCAGAACAGAGTACAGACGGAGGACGCCACAGATTATTTACTGTTAATGCCAAACGTGAAATAATTGATTTTCAACACTGAAATCCGGTAGCCATATTTTTCGTACTAGTCAGCCAACGTTTAATCTCCAAGCAGATGTTGGGAGCTTTTTCTCTCCTCGTCTTAGGATGAAGACAGAGCATACTTATATTATTACATAAAGCCTAAAGAGCAGAGTACAGACGGAGGACGCCACAGATTATTCACTATCACATGTAGAAAGTTGTATGAGCCCTGTCCCATAGCGAAAATGTGATGCCGTTTACAGAAAATAGTTGCCTGCATCGTAGCTATTTATTAGTGGTACCGTAGCTTGTTCTTGGGTTATTTCGATTGCTTCAAGTTCAAGTATGAAGTCATGACAAAAATGTGCTAAAATGTCTTAGAAGATTAGAAAAGGTTCAAGACGCTCAGACAAGGCGCAACACTTTCTTGACAGCACATAGAATTTTCCTGAAATTGCAACTTTAATTTCAAAATGCAGTTTTTCTGCCCTGAATCGGGTACACAGATGAAGAAAATTAAAATCAGCCTTTTAGCCACGTGTGACGTCAGCACTGGGTCAAAGTTTGTCCGAAGTCTGTAACGCCCCCCGTCACGGTTTTTGGTGAGTTAATTTCTTTTTGAGTTGGAGAACAGTTTAATCTTCTTCATGTACAATGTATTTTACCAACTCAGATGAACTTCCATGCTGGGTACACAGATGTTGAATGAGTTATACCGCGCGGCCTCTCTTGAGAAACCATCCCGTCTGAACCCAAGACTGGCGTTTATAACCCCAACATCTCAAGAATACTACCTCCCTGGAGTAAGCCACCCTTGTGAGGAAAGAAAAACAAAACCATCACACACTTGTGCGAGTGTACGATACCTTATATCGTCTGTAGCCCCACACAACAGGTGAAACGTGGGATCTGTGATATATTTATATTTCCAGGGGCAAGCACGTGTTAACAAGTGTACATCTTGTAGAGCCAAGAAAAGCCTTGGCTACATCAGACTAAAATAAACAACTCCTTCCCAGAACAAAAAGTTGTCGGTGGATCTTAACCTTGACAATGACCTTGACCACATGAGTGTAACCCGGTACCCGCAGTGAGTTAGGAAGTCGTCCAAAAGTCGCTCCAAATCTTCCCCGTTTGTTGTTTTAGGTGCTGTCAGAGGGATATATCCCTATCTGTGGGGTTCCTGAGGACAGGTCTATAATTTACAGACTGACTGTCTAGCTTTTGCGGATCACGAATGAAAATCAAAGCCTGGAGAAGGGCAGGACTCAAAAGACATGGACTCCTGGAAGAAAAGCTATTAAGCTAAATATGGATCCAAATAAAGTTAAAAGTCATTCAAAGACTTTTTTCTGCATACCTGCTACGCACTGGTGTAGGCAACAGTGAAATCATACCGGGTTAGGAAGAGACAGATTCCTCTCAAAAGCTCCCCAGAGTAGCAAACTTTCTGTTGTGTGTATCGTTTAAAATATTTGTCAAAATGTAAAAAAAAAACATTGACATTTACCTGAAAATATTAGGTGTACTAGGACAACTTTTAAAGTAAGATTAAATGTGCAATGATAGCTTGAAAGTTCAGCAAACTGTATTCCCAACACATAAATTGGACTCATCCAAATTCAATGAAACATCTACAGCAAAAAAATGTACAATTTAGCACAAGTCCATTTTTGGTCCATTCCTACCTTCTTTATATACTGCTGTATGTTCACAAACATTACACATGATCATGTGGTGATATGATATCAAAAGAAAAATAATTTATCATTCTGTAGCCCTTAAAGAATCAATTCACTCTTTTTTCCCTAACTCATATGTGCTTTCTCCCATGGTGATATAAAAAGAAAAATAATTATCATTTTCATGACCCTTCCAAAGTCACATCACAGTTGTTGTGCTTTCTCCCATCTTCCCAGTGGGCTTCTTCCCAAGTTTCTGAGCCTTCCTCTCCTCCTTTTCCTTCTGTTCTCTGATTTCTTCCTTCTGTCGTTCCTCCAGTTCCGTCTGTCTCTGCTTCTCTTCTTCCTCCTCTCTTTCTTGTAGCTCTTTCCTCCACTATTGACAAACAAACAATTGTTATGATCAATGATTTGTTATGATTTGAATTATTGCTATGATTATTGCTATGATCAATGATTTGTTATGCTTTGAACTACTGTTATGATTATTGTTTTGATCAATGATTTGTTATGATTTGAATTATTGTTATGACACTTGTTATGATCAATGATTTTTTTATGATTTTAACTATTGTTATGGCAGTTGTTATGATCAATGATTTGTTATGATTTGAATTATTGTTATGATTATTGTTATGATCAATGATTGTTATGATTTGAATTATTCTCTAATGGATGGTTCAGTGTATGTATGTATAGCTTGGATATATGAATAAAGAAAAAACAAACAAACAAACAAACAAACATCAAATGCAATATTCAGTTTGCTTTCTTGGAAAGAGTAAATGGTAATTAAAAATATTTTCAAAATTAATTGAGAGATAATCAGGGACCTCTTTGACACCAGATTTTGTCCGTTTTTTCACTTTGATGGTTTTCAGGTTTGAATTCAAAAGCAAATTTGAATACATAATGACTTGTGACAACCCCTGCATGCTATACAAAGGGATGTATTTCAAAGACTGTATACTAGATATTTGAAACTCCTCCAATGATTGTAAAAGTTCATACCTATCCCATACTAGCCACCCACTCATGTATCAGTTAGGCTAGCCTTATCAAAATGTAGTTTATATGACTAGTAGATGCCATACAATTGTACTCTGTACCCTGTACAACTGTTGTGCAATAAAGTTAGCAATGTACAAATGAATGTCACAAAGGGGCTGCAGTACTCCCTTCTCCACTAGGAGGCGTTGCTAAGAGGCACTATAGACGCATGTATAATAATTATGTATATGTAGCTGCAATGGTCATTATAGGGATATCACTTTTCAAAAAAGATATGAGAGAAATATTCTGCATTGGCTAGCAAATGTTTAGTTCTTAGTGAGATGCAGATGTTTTTGTTTACATACCTGGTCTTCCACGATTCTCCTCAGATCAAAGCTGGTTCGAGTGTTGTAGTCTACAGGAGGTTCATAGGTGGCCACATGCAGCAGTATGTCTTCTCTGTGAGAGAGAGAAACAATAGTCAGTCTTCTTAAAGACATCCTGTGCAGTTTTTAGGGCTTGGAATCCTGATTTTTCAAAGCCAATATTCTCAGTCATTTATCTACAAGGTGAGTTGAAACCACACTATCCCAATGTATATTGACCCTCATGGAGCAAAAATTCCCAAAATTCTGACAGAAAATGGTTACTGGAAGGGCCCTGGGTTGATTTATAGGGTACCACCCAGAAAATAAAGGACTCATCTTGGGGCTTGTTTCGGCAGTTTTAAATGCCTAAAGTATAAATGCTGATTGAAATGTGCTGATGTGAAGCAGTAATAAACATTGTGTCAATATCACAAAAATTGCCTTATTCACAATATTTAAGTCTTATACCTTGATCACACTGTGTATGTTTAAGTAACTAGATCACATATTTAATTTATTTCTGTATCCTAATTTTATTTCTTGTTAATGTAATTATGTAAATCGTGCATTTGTATATTAAATATAATAATATTTACTATTTTGTTTGGGTGAGGTCCACGAAAAAAAAAGTCGTTGATAGTTCTGACACTAAAGGCTTGCCATCTCACCCAGTGGAACTTTTAGCTTGTACAGATCAAGTCAATGACCCTCAGCTGAGACTGTTACAGATTATATTTCTATCCTCTGCAGACAATCAACATTCTGACATGAAATTCTCCCATTTCGAATTGTTCAAACTGCTACAACCCTCATGTACATTAAAAAAAGAAAAATTTGGAGGTACATGATTTTACCTGAAGAATTTTCTAACTGATACCATCTATATCTTCATTTTTATAAAAAAATGTCTCAAAACGTTTTTTCCTCATAATTTTTCCTCAAAACATTGAAAGAGTGGTCCACTCAGACTAATCATCATGCTTACTGCTGACCCAGAATTTCTGTTATCTATTGATATTCAAAATGTAACGTCTGTAGGGATGTAGCGGGGTTATGCATAGCCATATCAAAGCATCCGTTCAGTAGCCTACTTAACCTTCTCCCTGCTGCCTAACCCTTTAGCCAATAGAGAATTGTAGCCAAATGGCTGCTTCAGTGTGATAAAGGTTAAAGCTCCTAGCGGCTTGCCTGGCTTTCTCACTCAAGGCTTAGTCGCCAAAGCACATGTCTGGACACAGGATGGCAAGAAGCAAGGCTCTGACGCTCATATTGTTACTAGTACAACCATTACTTTTAGCCTCAAATCGTTCAGCTAAATCACTTTGCCCTGATAGTTGCCATGCCGATGAATTGCAACTATCTTGTCGCTGTATAGGGCCTATTCATGCAAACGAGGAAGCTGTCCCCTGTAGCTGGGTTGGTTATGGTGGAACGTACAGCTTCCCTGCGTGTGTTGACGTTATACCGACCGGCTTCAACAACGAGACTCGAGCCATCTTCATCATGTTTCTCCGCTCTTCCACAATTGTGGAACAGTCGTTCGAAAATGCCTCTGGCCTTCGGACGATCTTCATCCAACAGTCGAATGTTTCCACGATTCGGCCGGGAGCTTTTGACGGCCTCCCTCTGCTGCAAAACCTCTACCTCAATGACAACCGTATCTCCAGGCTAGGTAACAGTAACTTCCATTTATGTCATACCTGGGCTGCGATTACTTTCAATACGGGTGTTCCGGCCCTTGTGATAACTAGCGGTACGGCCCGGGCACATTGAAATGTCTGTTTTTTCGGGTGGATACGATAAAATACTGTATACACAGTGTATTCCGCACCACCCTCGGTCCCAGCCCTACCGCAGATCGGATCTCCCTCTGGTTTTTGGCCGTTGGACGATCCGACCCGCAGTCGGGCTGGGACCTCGGGCGATACGGAATACACCATGTAGTATTCTATATTTACATTGCATACAGATTGCATACATCTGCCACCTTGAATAAGTGTTAAAGATATCTCTAGTCCAGCACTTCTCATGCACAGTTTGGATATGCAGGAGTGCAGTTATTATATGTGTTGCGATTGAAATCTTAGTTTAGATGCATTATTCAGGGTGGCAGATATAAATGACAGACATATATCACAAAATTCAAATTTTTCACTTCTAAACAAACTACAGGAATCAACGGATGGCAGTTCAGCACCAAGAAAAGACACTAAAATGCAACTTGCTTATACACTGTCCTTTCAGGCAATTTCTGCTAATAATATCAGAATTAGAGCTAAGGATATGTATGTCTTTTTTTTAACCAATTTTTGGAGCAATCTGATATATATTATTTATAGTTCTCTTCCGTATTTTGCCAGACCCATATACCTTTGAGTCGGTTCCTTCTACAAAAAAAATTGAGATTTGTGCTGTGGATATTCTATGAGCAATTTTTTTTAGCAATATCATATGATTATTCATACATGTACATCTCCTTTCCATAACATGACTATTCATCTATCTCCTTTCCAGAGCCTAATACCTTCGAGGGGCTTAACAGTCTTAACTTCCTGATCCTCGACAAGAACGCAATTTCCTCCATATCCCGGCACGCCTTCCGCGGCCTACCTTCGCTTTCCCTCCTGTCTCTGACCAAGAACCGGCTGCGTTCCGTGCCCGTTGACGCGCTGTTGCAGCCAAGGGCGCTTCTACGGGCAAACCTCGGGACAAATCGCATTACCACTGTTGACAGCCGCTTTGCACTGTTAACACGAAACCCGCGTTTGAGTCTCGACCTAGACGACAACAAGCTTCACTGCGACGCAAATCTACACTGGTTCGTCCGTAGCCTACCAACCCTGGGTTTTATCGATAGTCCCAGCTCGCTGAAGTGTGCGTCACCGGCCGAACTGCACGGAACTCTCCTACACACCTTGAGAGAGAATTTCAGCAATGCTTTCAACACCACCACGGTGCAACCAGGGACCTGCCTTGGACAGTGCGAAGAAATATCAAACACAACAGCTACTCCATACACAAACTCTGTGGTTCCTCATACTACTTTCAAAGATCTGTACACTGAGCATACTTGGCCTGAGAAACATGGAAGCACGGAGATTCCTGCATCCACAAACACGAACGACGTGACGTCAGTCACAGAGACAAACTACATCATCATTCTCGGAGACAATCCAAACGCCAACAAGGATGAGACCTTCACCCGTCTCTTTTCCATAGCCCCTGCCGTAATCGTGCCTCTCCTTTTTGTGTTAGCGTTGGCGGTCGTGATATTTTTCTACAAGGGTTCTCACGGCACGGGCTTGGCTTGCCACATCGTGCCAACTGAAACAGAGGAGGAAGAAGAAGAACCCAAACCCTCGGAAACAGACGAATGTATCATCCAGCCGTACGCGGTGGTGTATTTTGACGCAGACCAATTGCAGGAGTCTCAAGAGGGTGTGCAGTCTTCTACAGCTCATAACAAGACATCAGCAGAAAATGATGCCATTCAGCCGAACGCATCCACTCATGATATAGACCCAGGGCCACAGCTTCGGCCGTATGCCATCACGTATGATAGCGATGAAGACCCAGGCTCATAGCTTCAGCCATGTGCAGTGACCCACAATGAAGACCCAGGGCCACAGCTTCTGAATTCCGGGAGTGAGCCATACGCAATGACCCACGAGGAAGACCCGGGTTCATAGCTTCAGCCAATTTATGCAGTGACCCACAATGAAGACCCAAGACTACAGCATTTAGAGACTTATTATTTCTACACACATAGTCACAGAATCTGGCATACAAGTCACATGGCTTTCATGTAAGGGCTGATCATAAAAGACTACATGATAATGTTATGGTAATGGTGTTAACAGTGTAACATACAGTTTTGAATAATGTGTAAGTTTTATATTCAATAAGTAGTTTTGTTTGCTGCATAGTGTGTATTAGACTTTGCCTCAACTTCAGGCTGTACAAAATTCTGACAGAAAGCTGTCATGCTTACTAGTATTCATTTTTGTAATGTTCTACTTAACTTCTAGATCTAATTTTGATGCACATTTTAGATTGTGAGTGTAACATGTCATACTGCATACTTCGTCAACAGCAAACAGTCTACAGTACTATGGACCTTACCTCTGGAACACTCTTCCGCTACAGCAATAACTCCTTAGTCGCAGGACTTTTAAACAGATCATTAGGAAGAGTACTTGATCTAGTTGATGTTCTGGATTTTATATTGATTAATTTTTTTCTTTCTTTCTTTCTTTCTTTCTTTATTTATTGACATTGACAACAGGTCAAGACACAGGTTATCAACTGAAGGCAGTGTTAACTGGTACATGTATTAGATAACCCACATGTACAGACGTGGAGACAAACATGAAATAAGAAATCTACTATAAATACAAGACCTGAAATAAAGATAACATGTTAACTGGTTACAAGTTACAATACTACATGTGTAATTTTTTTATGTAGTGTGTACTTTTTAGTATATTCAGGATTACCTGAAAAGCAAGCCGAAATTGTAATTACTAGACAGGTAAAATAAATAAAGTGAAAGTGATGCTGTTACCTTAATGATGTCCTGACAGGATGTTTTCCGGGGGAGGGGGTTACAGGGACACTGCGTGACCGTGGGGGGTGGGACCTGGCCGTCAGCGGCCCCCTGGCGGTCCGGGGGGTTACTGCAGGCAGCGGGGGGAGGTAGATCTCTGCCAGACTGGCGGCCATCTTGGCAAAGATGGTGGAGGATCGCGGGACACTCTCATTGTGCTGACTCGTCTCTACTTCTGCCTCCACCTGAAGGAGTGAAAAACAGGGAGGTTAGAGATAGGAAACTTATTCATTTATTTCTTTATCAATTTATACATTGGTGAAGGTAATAAGATATGCAAAAAAAACAGTTACTCAAGCAACTGGATATGATTTTGGAAACAGTTAGACGTTTTAGGTAGTACCTACTACCTTTTGTCAGTGACACTGGAGAGATCTCAAAACCATTGTTTATAGTTAGTATTTATAAACCTGCTGATTTTGACATGTCTAGTGCCTGAGCAGGTCATAAACACCTCCATAATGACCTCTGACCTGCCTGACTTTTTAAGGCCTCCATGACCTATGACCTGACCTGCCTGACTTTTTAAGGCCTCCATGACCTATGACCTGACATGATCAACTTTAATGCCTCCATGACCTATGACCTGACCAACTTTGAAGGCCCCTGTGACCTATGACCTGACCTTCTTTGAAGGCCTCCATGACCTATGACCTGACATGACCTGCCTGACTTTTAAGGCCTCCATGACTTATGACCTGGAATGACCTATGACCTGACCTGCCCAACTTTGAAGGCCTCCATGACCCTGACGTCCTGTTCCTGAGACTGGACCCGGACCAGCATGCCCCACACCGCTGTACGCAGGCCCTCCTTGGTCTTGTCCGCCTGGCAGCAGCGCCCCACTTTGACCAGAGACTGAACTGCACCGTAACGCACTCTCCACATCCAGTCAGGCAGTTCTGTTCACATGAAATAAATATATGTTGTAAGACAAACCTAACAGCTGTATCACATAATGTATGACTAAACAAAAGTTGTTTTAAAGGATATTTACAAAACATGTGTTCCATGAAAATTGTGTTTGCACATGATTGTGCACAAATCCCAAAGAACAACAACATTGGACATGAAATTACAGTGTTCCAAAAAGAGGTATTGTTCCAAAGAACATGTACTAGACTAGTACGTGTTCCAAAAAACATGTGCACACCTTCCAAAGAACATGTACAAGACATGGTTTTCCAAAGAACACCTAAATTACATGACTTAGTGTTCCAAAGAACATGTGCAAACATTCCAAAGAACATGTATAATGACTTAGTATGTGTTCCAACGAACATTATACAATCCAAAGAACAAGAGACGTTGCTAGTCCTTCCTTACTAAATGATCCAGTCAATACAAAGAGGTGAAAACTGAAGTCTTACCCACAGCCTCCTCCTCTACTTCATACTGAGGGTTGAACTCTGCCAGATCTAACAGCCCTGCGCTCTCTGTACACGCACTGTTGTAGTCTGGGGGAAACAACTCTGATGGGTTCCTGAGGGGTCAAAAACAAATCAGTCAGTCCAGTCTAGATCTAAGTCAAAAATGTTTCAACAGCCACTCTCACACAGGCACAATGTTGCAAGCCTGGCGTTATATTGCTATTTCCATGGTAAATGCTCCGTGGAACTTCACTCGCTAAAGTGCCCCCACTTCGAACATTCTCAGCAAGGACACGTCTTGCCACTTCCACTGAAGCAAATCACCCTTTCTTCCTCTATTCATCACCTTTTAGGAGGAAGTTCCACACTGAAAGTTTCTTTCCTACAACAACATCATTATGGAATAAGCTACAACGTGATAGATTCCCATATGGGTATAACATTAAACTTTTCAAGTCTAACAAACATCTGTCCTCACTGGCTGTACAGTAACCCAAAACATTTGAGTGGTTCTCATGAGCCTTGTTTTGTGGTGCTAAATGCTCTGACTATTACACCACACGATGCCATTTCTTCTGCGATGACCAAAAGCTACTTCAAAAGATAACTTACTTGATTCCAACGAGTGCCAGTTTCTGGATTTGCGAGGTGATACCGTGTAGAGCGACATAACCCAGGGCTTCTGTGAAGACATACGCCACTTCCCACCGCCAGCCTGCAATACCTGGTACCTCAGGGAGCTACAGTTTACAGGCAAATCAGAGAAATTTTATCACAGATAAACAATACAGAAAATCTGTTAATAGTATGTACAAAACAATAACAAAATCATTAACGGAGGGGGCCCTAAATTTGCCATTTTTTCTGAATGTTCTCAAATTTCTGTATTTTTTAAAGAACAATTTTAAGAGCCAAGAGAATTGATTTGTAGTTAATAGAATTATAAGTTTTCTTAAGTTTTTACATACTTTAAGTTAATTCCACTTATGTATCTGTATTTCTCTCAAAACTTTTCTTCATCTATGATTATTTTATCTTGCAGTTTAATTGTGAAATTGTTAGATTGTGAAAAAAGGAATTGTTTGGTTTTTTATCTTCTTTCTTTTAATTTGTTTTCAGAATAACAAAAGAAGATCATGGCACTACAAACAAAATTAGTGATGCACATGCGTAACAACAAAACTGATATAGCCAGGAAACAATAAGGACCATAGAAAAAAATTATAAACAAAAAAATAATTGTTGTTAGTAATTTACAGGAAGATTTGCAAAGGTGAGTCTCTCGCTGGCTGGTGTGCCGCGCCCCTCAGGAAACTCAGAGCCCATTTCTGCATGATGCGCTGTGTCCGGTATCACTTCTGCCGACTCCTGTGTCGGCCCTTCTGATTGGCTGGCCATGTGCTGGCTTCCCATTGGTCGGTGCATGTCATGTGAGTGGAGGCTCTTTCTGATTGGCTTTTTCAAAGGCAGCATGCCTCCAGGTGCACTCTGGGTAGCTCTGTTCAAGTCCATTTCTGTGATTTTCATGTCTAAGTCTTCGGGTGAGCCATTTTTGTCGCCTGAGCTGTCCTGAAGGACGTTGTCTTCCGTCGGTTCAATTTCGCTGTCCTCTCCTGGCTCAAGGTCACTGTCCGTGGTGTCAATCCCATCATGCTTCAGTGCTTCAATCCCAGGATGCCTCATGATCCCCCCTGCAGAGTCTAAACTGTCCCTGCTGCTGATTTCTGGCTCAGTGACGGGCTCGCTTCCCGCGCTGATGTGCGACAAACGGGATTGAGGCCCGCTCTCCGACGTAAACGACATGACATGTCTGTCAGGCGGTGTGCTTGCGACCGCTGTGACAGACACAGACTTGTTGACAGACGTAGCGCTCACGTCCGTTCCCGACTCGTAGCCCCTCCTGGACCGCCGACGTCTCCGCCTGCTTGTCCCGACTCCGAGCAGTTCTGGCTCCGTGTCTTCTCCTGTGATGTCTTCCCTAAGAATGGATTGAATGAATGAATTATATTTAATTTACTAACTAGAAAGGTACCATTTTCAAAGCAAATCCTATATACATAGCATTTCCTTTGTGGGATTCCCGCATTCCATCTGGTTCTTTGGGAGCCTACTGCAAAGGGAAAAAGAAGTAAGGGGGAGACCCAGAGTCATCTACTTAGACAACCTACGATGTGGCACTGGCCTGCATGATACTAATAAATTGCGAAGGGCCATGGAAGATTAAGTGGATTGTGATGTTCCTTCCAGAAGATGTAAGGAAAATATTGAAGATAAATTTCTGACTTAATGGGCATGCTAGTGTAGGCAGACCTTGCACAACCTAGTAGACATACATCACCTGTGTGAGGATGCTGGTTGCAAACCAGGGCTATGGAAGGTAAGGAGGGCTGGTGGAAAAGAGTCATGAACATCCATTAAAATCTCACAACAACATGATGATTTTCCTTACATAAGATGTGGTTCACTCTTCAGGCTGTCGGCAGGTTCGGACAGGTCCAGCTCGAAGCTGTGGAAGTCCTCGGGTGTGGGCGCCGCGGGCGCAACGTTCGGGTCCAGCCCTCGGCCCAGGTCCTGCAGGCTCCGCAGAGCGCGCACGTTCTGTATCGCTGCCTCTGCTACGATATTCACCGCGCAGACGCCATCTAGCCTGGAGAAAAAGAAGGCATATCATAATATGGTGTATAAATTTGATATCCATCCATTCATCCAAAAATGAAAACAATGAAGCACAAACTTTCATCAGCAATAAAAATTTAGATTTTTTAAACAAAAGGCATACTAGGAAGTATGTATATGGTATATAAATTTGATATCCATCCATCTATTCATTCATTCATTCATATATCATTATATAATATAATACAACATCTGTATAATCTGGGGATGTCTTTTATTTGAAATCTTGACTGTCTTTTATTTGAAATCTTGTATTTGAAAAATAAAAGTGCCTTTTAAACAATTGTGGTATGTATATTGACTCCTATGCACAAGTTGTTAAAATTCACAGTTACGATCACAGTACTTGGCCACCAAATTGAATGTAAAGTCTACTGGACTCACCAACTCTCATTGGCCAGCCCCATGCCACACTCAGCCAATCCGTGGAGAGCTTGCTTCAGCCCTTGACTGTTGTTGTTTACACACCTGAAACAGAAGGGTTGAAGAATGTTCCAAAGGCAAGTTTTGAATGATTTACAGTGTTGTTGAAAACTTTTTTTTTGAAATGGCCAAACAGTCATGCGCGCGGATGTCATCCATATAATCAAATCAACATGGCCTAAAATAAGAGTGAACCCACCTCCAGACGTCCAGTGCGTGCCACAGTGTGGGACTGACATCGTGCACCCCGCCTGAGGTTGGAGCTGTGGACATGAAGGTTTGCTCCCGGGTCAGGGTACGAGGCTGGGGGGTCTGTGGGGGAACAACAAGACTGATCAATATTAAATGTATAAAATTAAAAAGACTCTTTTTATGCAACCAAGACTTAGTGTTTTATTCAGCTAATGTTTCAGTGACTGTCTGTCACTGTCTGTCACTGAGGCCTAGGAAAAAAAATGTGTTTTTTGTTTCAGTCCTGAAAAAATTAGGGTTGTGCAGGGATCCCAAAAAAGGCTCAGTAACGGTTGGCAGGTTTTTCTTGGGTTGGTCGGGAAACAGGAAACACAACATTTTTTTCCTAGGCCTTACTATTCGGACTTGAGTGTACAATGTGAGTTCGAGGGGATTCATTATAATAATAATGGTTTATTTGTCACATATTCATTTGTACAGAATGGCAGGTCCCGTGTAATTGGGACCTGAATTGCTCTGACAATTACATATTTATCATTGGTTGATTAATAAAAAGTTATCACACATTAAAATCATTATCCGTCATTATTATTAATATAAAATACGTTAAAAGCTAATTCGTTTAAAATATCAGATTTGCGCACATGTACAGGTTGCATTAAAAGTCTTTGGACAATAAAATGGCAATCTCAGTCCCCATTCAGTAGTCGCACGATATGCGGTATTGCACTGTTTTTAAATCTCTCAGTTCTGGCAGTGACAGTGTTCAGTTTGTAGCTAGATCTAGTGTCTCTACCGCTGGTCTCTCCTCGAGTAGGAGGCAGCCACTGTCTGAATGTCGGGGACTCCATCAGACCGCGTCCGAACTTCAGGATCAGGTGTTGACGTCTTTGCTGGAGTGAAGGTAGACCTAGGAGACTGCATGCATCCGAGTACCGGGAGTAGTCTTTGCCAAGTATGATACGACATGCCCGGCGCTGGATGTTCTCTATCTGGGCTATCTGGGTGGAAGTCAGTCCGGGGCCCCAGACAGGGCAGGCGTATTCACACAGGGGACGTACGTAGCTTACGTACACAGTCACCAGGTCAGACACTGGTAGTCTGAACCTTTTCAGGTGTCTTAGGAGGAAGAGACGTCTGCTGCTTTGACTGGTGATGTGGTTGACGTGCGTGTTCCATTTGAGGTCAGATTGCACCATGACCCCTAACAGCTTGGCTACAGAGACTTCTTGAAGTGCATGGCCGTCAATGTATAAGACTGGGAGAGGAGGGGGGGGTTTTGTAAAGTACACATGCATGGCCTTGCATTTCTTTGGATGTAATTTCATGTAACTGTTCGCAGTCCACTGTTCCAGGTCGTCGAGATCATGTTGTAGGAGTGACAGCTAACCGACATTTTGCACACACAGTCATCCCTCAGTAAGACACCTGGAGCTGCATAGTTCCCGTTTAGAACTTTATTCAGCCTGTCACACGACCGGTTTCGCCTGTGTGGCTTCTTCAAGTGTTCTAAATGGGATGTAACAGGCTGAATAAAAGTTCTGAACTGGAACTATGTGGCTCCAGATGTCTTACTGAGGGACGACTACATGTGCATGATGTCTGTTAGCTGAGGAATGAATCCCCTCGAATTTATTTGGACTTGAGTGTTGTTTGAAGTAAGCAGACTGACCTTGTGTCTAGCATCAGGTGTGGGTCCCTTGTCCCCCTCCTTCAGTTCCCCCGGGTCCACAGCCTGACGTCCGATGACGATCCTGCCGACCTCGGAGATGAACCTGAGCGCCAGGTGAGCCCCGGGGTACGGACTGTACGCCTCCTGACACTCCGAGAAACCTACAGAAAAGCACATTTTCTGTCAAAACCAAGGCAGCCACCAGCTAACTCCATCTACAAGCATGTCAGCAGAACACACTGTATCAGATCTGTATCTGCAGGTCAAAAAAGCAAATAGTACAGCGCCTGCTTAAAAATAACTAATGTATCATACATACATGTAGGACTTTAGCAGAACAAATATTGTTGGCTTTATTAAATCTGAGTTTAGATAAAACATACCTTTGAACTCAAATGGTTTGCTCCCTTGTGATAGCATCAGAGACAAAATACACATGAAATTCATACATGTAAACCTGCATTTATCATACAGATAACTTTCCCAACAACTTACACACTGTTTACTAATGTAATGCATAAATGTATTGTACTTACAGTCAGTAGCATTGTTTATTGTTCATAGATGTGAGAAATTACTTTTGTGACAAACTCCCGTAGTTCAAGGAAAGCACTTCTGTGCCCTTCTCTACCAATGTGTGTTCGTATGTGTGAGAGAGAAATAATAAAGACAAATAGTACCGTCCACTCAGTGAGTGAGTGACATACCGTCCAGATAAGTGACCAGTCTGTTCTTGAACTCTGCCTGACCCTCCAGATGACCGACCAGCTGGTGGTACAACAGTCGTGTGAACGTCAGCTGACCCATCTACAGAAACACAAGTCAACATATTTATATGACATGACAAACATTGAATCATAACCTCCTTTATATCATTCAGCACCAAGGACAGGGATGGTAGAGTAATATGAATAATGATTCAGTGTGTGTTTTTCAGTACAAAGAATACGTCCCTGGAACTATAAGTATTATCATTCAGCACTAAGGACAGGGATTGCAGAATAATTCTGCTGACCATAACAGACAAAATTTTGCCCAATCCGTCATCATCAATTAATCAGTGGACACACACACACACACACACACACACACACACGCACACACACACACGTGCAAACACACACACTGACTGTGATATTCAGCACAAAGAACAGGAACTATAGAGTATGTATCATTCAGCACCAAGGACAGGGATTACAGAATAACTTTGTATGTGTTTTTCAGCACCAAGGACAGGGATATTATACTATTATTGGAATATGTACTGCACCTTCAGTAGTTTGAGCTCTGCAGTTCGGAGGAAGGGCTGGTTGACTGCGTCGGTCCGTAGCCAGTACAGGGTGGTCTCTGCCAGGAAGAACAGGCTGGGGATGTGGTGGGCGGACAGTGGTGCCTGGTCCAACGATGTGATCAGGACTTCCAGACATTCTGGAAGGTATAAACATTAATTATAGAAACTAGAATGATAACCTGAAAATAGTTTCATCAGGTTGATAATGCATAGGATATGGGTTTTTCTTTCACATAACCAGTATTGCCTCTTACCATGCTTACATTTGTACATTTCAGACTTTTGTGATTGTTTGCCATGTTTGGGATTGTGTTCACCAGCTATATATAGCGGCGAGAAGCAAAACTCCAGTCAGAAGCTCTGAGGAAGGTGTCTGATAGAAATTGAAGTGAAACGTCAGCAAGGTAAGAGATAAAAATTGTTGTGTAACAGAAAATCCCTTTATCCTAGAAAGATAACATTTGCTGAGCAAATGCATGATGTTTACATCCAAATGGTCTAGCTTAACAAATTACTGCTCTGTTTATTCTCACTCAAACACATTTGTATGTATAATGACTGGTTTACTGTGCACTGATACCTAGATGGTGTCACATGGTTCAATGTGCACTGAAGCTAGATGTTACTGTAACAATGCAGTTCCAAGCATAAAACAATTGTACGTATGAGACATACATACTATTGTTACAACTATGTATTGGAAGGACTACCCACCTTCCTGTACTTTCCCCTTACACTGTGCTAACATGGCGAGTTCAGACCAGGCCATGGGAAGGTTGACATGGTCCCCTACCCCTCCATCCTTTAGTCCTGTTCTTCTCTGTGGGCAGAGACATCAAACTTTATCAACATGACAAAAGTACAGTCAAACTTACACTGATGTACTACTAAGTTTGCATAGTGTAACTTCACAGAAGCAGTGGATTGCTGAGAGTTTGTACTCGCACTGCTACGAAACAGCTCTACAGCTTCGACCCTCACATGCTGGACACTCCCAAAGCACATGTGGAATCCTTCAAAGGCAGCCTGCAGTATCAAGGGCCTGTACTGTGGAACAGTCTTGCTGCTGACCAGCGGCAACTGACAGCAACGTCAGCATTTAAAAACGGACTGTAGATGACCGCAGATGAAATGTGCCTATATTGAATACTGTGACTATTTTGTATAATATGTAAATGTTTATAACATTTGTTGTATATTGTTGCATTGAACTTTTGTAATGTTATTTTTAATGTGTGCCCAGGGATACCTGAAAATCAGATCAACTGATCTGAGGTATGCCCTGGTGAAATAAATAAACTTGAAATAAACTTGAATTGCTTATTCCTTTAGGCCACAAATAAGCATACAATTATCTTTATTTACCCTGATCCTGAGCATCATTTTCCTGGCCTTGTCATCTAGTCTCTCCTTCTCCTTGTAGTCTGTGGTATCGTTGTACTGGTTTATGAAACCTTCTGTCACTTCCAGAGGGTTTCTGGAACACAGAGGCAACGACTGTAGGTAATTTTTTCTACATTTTATAGCCTGAAATCCATCCCTACGTTTTAGGAGTCACCACAGGGCAATAGCATGCAGGGATAGATACCAGGCTGGCTACTACCGGCAAAATGAGGAAGAAAGCCGGGTTCAAGCTCGGCAATGGTCCCTGTACATGAGTCCTCTGTCTCCTTCTTTGTTGGGCAAGTACTTACATCTCAATGCAGGAAAATATGGCTAGCAAACAGTAAAAATATGAACGTGTGTTGCAAGACAAAATATGTGACTATTCTATACGATTTTTTGACCCAAAATATCCCACGCCACAGGTGGCCCACTATGCTTCCACCCGTGTCTAAAGACAAACCATTTCCAGTGGCAAGGGGTTTCGAAGGGCTTCAGAATGGCATGCCATTCTCAGTCTAAATTGGGCCGTAGACGTAGACTGTAGAAATGGTACATACTGCTTGTGTGATGATGAAGAGCAAATAAAGCATAGAAACATACCTGGTAACAGTCTGCATGCGATGTGTGCTGACCGTCTGATCCAGACCCTGCCTCAGCAGCCTTTCCTGCAGCTCCAGACGCTGAGAGTGGGAAATAATCCCAAACTTGTGCACAACCGGCACCTTGTGGATCGGCATGGTACTGCAGAATCTCTCTTTCTCTTGTAGAAAAAAACCTGCATAGAACATCAATTTTGGTTTTTCTTTTAATGCCCATGATGATGTTCATTCTTGCATGCTTAATAACACCTAAGTGAAGTGAAAGTCATGTCAAGTGCCTTTCCCAAGCGCATAAGCTTGGTGACATGGCAGGATTCGAACCCAGGACCTCTTGGTTCTGAGCCATTGCTCTGCCACACGACCTCATGCAACTCAACATTGCAACATCGCAAGACAGTTATGATGAAGGTTAGACATTCAGGTAATGAGATACACAAGGAAATCGTAACTCATATGCAGCTGAAAACTTTCGGATGTTTCAAGTAGTATCCACTACTTTTCGTCAGTCTTTTTGTTATAGTATAAAATAAACATTACAAAAAGACGCTACTCAACTTCTCTCAGTAGCTTTTCTTGGCAAGAATATTAGATAAGAATATCGTAAATAAACATAAAAGTCGCATATGTTGTGGAAATGTCTAATGAATTTATCATAATATTTAGACCGCCATTTTTATATAATTGAGAGTTATCATACCTACCTGGTCAGATAACTACAGTTATACTAGCTACCCGAAGAAATACAATGGCGTTTTCCCTAGAAATCGCAAGGTGGCAGTTCTTCACAGAAACAAACAACATCCGGGCACTAACCCACGTGACCTCCTCTTTCCCGGAACCAAGCCGAGGCAAGGGGAACCTCATCGAGCCTGGGCCGGGTCAGAGAAAGGGTGGGACATTGTATTTCTTCGGGTAGCTAGTATAACTGTAGTTATCTGACCAGGTAGGTATGATAACTCTCAATTATACGTCGCTACCCTCCGAAATACAATGGCGACTTCAAAGCCGCGAGATGAGGGTAGTATAACAATAGAAAAACGAGACTCACCAGATCCCAAGGGGAGAGATGAATGATCATCCTGGAGTCACGTCTTTCACCTCCGTCATACAGGTGCTGCTGAAGGATGACTGATCCCCCATTTTGACAGCTGAAGTGCCGGATACATTAAAGGGCAGAACTACTACACTGTAGTCCTTTCGGGCAAGGTTGAGGCACTCAAGGTAGAGATGAGTGCCCTACCTAAATCCGACTCGATCTCTGGTCGGAAATAAAAGGTTTGGAAGGTTCTGGCCGAGGCCCAGTCTGCCAAACGCAACAACTCATTCAGAGACAAACCCTTTCGCAAAGCTGCAGACGCAGCGGCACCACGATGGGAATGAGCTTTAAAAACACTGGTATCAATACCAGAAAGCTCCATAACCAACTTCAACCATCTGGCTAAAGTTGCAGAAACAACAGGTTTCTGATTCTTAAAAGATAAGAAAAAACTTCTTAGACCTAACAGGAGACTGACTTCTCCTAAGGTACTCCTTAATATGTCTTACCACACAGATACTGCTGTGATCTGGGTAAGCATGAAACACAATCTCTCTGTAAGGCCGAGCAGGCCTATCAGATTTTGTTAACTCAACTGGAACAAAAACAAACCTTAACGTCAGACACGCTCATAAGATCAATAGACAAGGACGCCAACGTCCCACATCTATCAGCAGATGACAAAGCCATCAATGATAAAGTCTTCAGAGTAATCTGCCTCAAAGTAAGAGACTCTAGAGGCTCCCAAGTCTGCAGGAATCTGAGGACTTTACTAACATCCCAGGTAACTAGGTACCTAGGTCTAGGGGGGCGCATATTAAACACACCCCGCATAAAATTAACAACCATCCAGTGTTGCCCAATCTGGACACCATCTGAAGTCTGACGAGTTGAGGAAATCGCAGAGCGATGGACATTAATGGTCTTATAAGACATACCCTCTTGATAAAGGTACAAGAGGTAGTCAATAACCTCAGGAACCGTAGTACTGAGGGGATTTAAGGACTTAGTCCTGCACCAACTGGAAAAACGTTTCCAAACTGACTGATATTGCTTTTGGGTACTTTTTCGCTGAGCCGCGGAAGCCACTGCTGCCGCTTCAGATGACAAACCCGAAGTTATCAATGCTTGCCTGACACAAGCCAAGCGGTCAGCTTGAGAATTTTCCAAAGAGGATGCACCTCTTCTAACCCGGGAAGACACAGGACGTTCTTCTCCACAGGGAAGAACAGCGGATCCCGAATGGCTAACTCTCGGAGCAGTGGAAACCATGGCTGAGAGGGCCAAAAAGGTGCTATGACCAAGGCTACTGCCTGATCTGACCGAATTTTGTTCAGGACTCTTGTGAGTAGACAAACAGGTGGGAATGCGTACACCCGCATTTTGCCCCAAGAGCAGAGGAAGGCATCGATCCTCCATGCTTCTGGGTCGGGATGCCATGCACAATAAAGTGGAAGCTGATGGTTGAGCCTCGAGGCAAACAAGTCCACTTCTGGGTGGAAATGAAGCATCTGACATGCTTCGTGAAAGAGAAGTGGATGGAGCTTCCACTCTGTGTGATCGTGAAACACTCTGGATGCCGTGTCGGCTTCCAGGTTGACCCGACCCGGCAGATGTTCTGCTGATAACATCAAACCCCTCGCTAGAGCCCATTTCCATAGAGAAACGGCAGTTTGGCTGAGAGGCAAGGAGTGGCATCCTCCTTGTCGGTTGATGTATGAGATTGCCGTTGTGTTGTCCAACCTGAGTCGAATGTGGGAATCGCTCAGGTCGGATGCGAAACACTTCAGGCCGAAGAAAGCAGCCATCAACTCCAGCTCGTTTATGTGTCTCTGTCTCTCCTGAGGAGACCAGCGACCCCCTGTCCTGCGCCCGTTGCAGACTGCTCCCCAACCTTGGAGAGATGCATCTGTGGTGATGGTTAGAACCACTGGACTCAACAGAATGGCCCGACCGTTCCACTGAGGCAAACAAGCTGCCCAGGCCGCTAACTCTGCACGAGCTTGAGGGGACAACACCACTTTGGTCTCCCATGGACGATTCTGTTTCAGAGCGTTGTTTAGACAACTCTGCAAATTCCTGAAGTAAAGCGGAGCAGGCAAGACTGCTGCTGACGCTGCATTCATTTGACCCACCACTTCGGCAATCTGCCGGAGGGACACATGCTGCAACCTCTGCAAGGAGGTGCAGCTCCTGACAATCTTTGTCACCTTCTCCCGAGGGAGAAGCAACGTCATGAGATGAGAATCTATTTCCAGACCCAAGAAGATCAGCTTCTGTGTCGGGATCAACTGGGACTTCTCCCAATTGATCAGAAATCCCAGCCGTGATAGAAGGTCTATTGCGAACTGGAGATTCTGCTGACATTGAGATTGGGATGACCCCAAAATCAACATATCGTCGAGATATATCACAATCCGAATCCCTTGAGATCGAATTACCGCAACGATGGGCTTCATCACCTTTGTGAAGACCCTCGGCGCGCAATTCAGTCCGAACGGCATGGACTGGAATTCCCAAATCCTGCCCTTGAAGCGAAACCGCAGGAGTTTCTTCATGGACTGGTGTAGGGGAATGTGGAAATAGGCATCCTTGATATCCAAGGTGGCCATCCAGTCGTTTGGCTGTAAAAGCGACTGGACCTCCTTCATCCCTTCCATCTTGAAGTGGTCTGCGACCACATATTGATTGAGAGGCTTTAGATTGACTACTGGACGCCAGGTCCCGTCTTTCTTTGGGACCAGAAAAAGGCGTGATAGGAATTGTCCTTCCACAGGAGACACTTCCAAGATCACCCCTTTTTGTTTCAGCGACAAAACCTCTGCTGCCATGAGGTTTTCGGCCTCTAGATTTAACCCTGTCACCTCTTCTGGAGGGACAAGTTGATGGGGTCGCCCTGTGAGATGGACCCTCAGACCTTTGCTCACAGTGCTCAGAACCCATGGATCTGAGCAGATGGTTTCCCAATGAGAAAGGAAATGCTGAATTCTCCCAGCAACTGGAAGAAGATCCATCCCAGAGGGCGACCCTGGCTCGAGACGAAGTGGGGGGTTGACTACTTTTTTGCCTGCCGAAAGGACTGATTTCCTTTACGGTATGACTTGCCCTTAGCCGACTGCTGACGGTTATGGAAGGACTGCTTCCCACGTCCTCTCCCAAAACTCATCTTGGGTTGAGAAGAGTCAACTGCGGCCAAAGGGCTACTGTAGACCACCCGCCTTGTAGACGGCTTAGGGTCCTTGTAGACCTTTTCCACTGTCTTACCAGCCTTATCGATCTCTTCTACTTTCTGTAGAATGTCATCCCCCAACAACCACTCACAAGTGGGTACAGTCAGGCGGTCATCCCCAGCCTGATGTTTAGTGCTGATCTTGTCGTTGACCAAGCACTTGAACTTATCCTCGACCCAATCATGCACCTGACGGCGCCTGAAGTAGGTAATGTGAGAGCACACTCCTGCATTCAGCTGACCAGCAATGTTCAAGTGATCAGCAATGACCTTAGCCTGGTCACGGACAGACTCATCCTCGTGCGAGAGCAGAGGCTGCAGCAGGTCCATCACCTGCAAGACCGGCTGTATAGCTTCGAGGGCATGACCCTGGATAGCCCTCAAAGCATTATCCTGTTTCACCGCCTGTACCGTCTGTTTCACCGTCTTCCACCTTTCACCCAAGGCATTGTGCAACTTGGGGGCAGAGACCGCTGCCGCCTGAGAGGCATCCAGGTGATAGGCCTTCTCTGTATCCTCAAAAACCTTCTCCTGCCAGGGGAGAAGTCTTTGTTCCTTAAACCAATCCACGATCCCAGGGGAAACAACAAGTCCCTTAACTCGTGGTTGAAGTGAGGTCAGGAAGGAAGGCCTGTCTTGTACAGGCTGCACTGCTACATCCGAGTGGACCTCAGAGTGCTCTGTGCTAGTGTGCTCTGTTAACCCTTCCGGAGGAGGGTGTTCTGAGGGAGCATGTTCTGACTCTGAAAGAGCCTCAGATTCAGAAGGATGCAGGTCGATAGCATCGACCAGCTCTGGATCCGTAGAAACGGATGTCACGTCCCTGATAGGGGACCTGGACCTAACACGTGAGGCAGAAGTCGAACGCCACCGACGTCTCGGGGCCCGAACGTCAACCTCTGAGTCCTCAGACTCCTCATCCTCACGATGAACCATTGCACGAGTAGTGCCTTGATTCAGATGGCCTCTGAGCGAGGACTGCTGGTCCAAAACAGATCTCATATCCGTCATAAGACGGTTGAACTCTGAGAAAACATCCCAATGACCACTAGTGGGCAAAGGGAAATTGGGCTGAAAGCCCGCAGTACCTCCCGCAGTCGGCACCGAAGTGGCAACTGGGCGTGCTCCAACATGTCCCGGCACCGAGGTGGCGGAGAACATGGCACGATAAGTACCAGTACTGCTTGCAGTTCCCGTTGGCACGGGTGCAAAACCAAGGTGAGGCAACGGAGTAAACGCACCTGACAGTTGAGTATCAGTTCTCATCCCTGCCTGCACGTACGTTGCCGAGGGAGCAAAATCCCCACGTGACGTAGTGGCGGGCTCCATAACTGAAAAAATGCTGTAAACAAAACAGCAAAAAATGGAATAATCAGACTCTAAACACACCAAAAACAAGGACCCACAGAGACAGTGGGACCTCCGGAACCTTCCTGATCCAAAAGGAAACAGGAAAGATCGCTAAAATGTGAAAAAAACACACCACCAAGCGAGAACTACAAAATCCACTTACCTAGCCGAAGGCAGTGAAGGGAAAGAGGAGGTCACGTGGGTTAGTGCCCGGATGTTGTTTGTTTCTGTGAAGAACTGCCACCTTGCGATTTCTAGGGAAAACGCCATTGTATTTCGGAGGGTAGCGACGTATAACGTTATTTGACTAGCTGAAAGACTAGCTGGATTGATTTTCGACAGTTTTCAGACGCAACTTTACACGTTTTTCTAGTAATATGAACTACAAAATTTGTCCACAACACACATCATATTCACCTTATGTTGATATCACCCGTTAAGTCGTTGTAGCTTAGGTCAAAATGTGAGAAAACTTCCGGAAATTCTGCCTAAACTCAGCCGGAGGCCGCCATATGTTGTTTGGGCAACTATGGTGACTAGGGGCAAAGGTCAACGAACTCTCGTGACCGCACGTTGGACAGCGACACCTAGCGAGATGCGGTATATTTCCCCAGCCCTGTCGTGTTTTTGGTCATAGGTCACTATAAAGCGATTTCAGGGCAGCAAAACTGGAAATCTTGTGAATAAGGCTGCTTCACATTAGCACATTTGAGTCAGTATTTCATACTTTGGGCTTTTAAAACTGCAGAAACAAGCCCCAAGATGAGCCCTTTCTTTTCTGGGTGGTAACGTTACCCTAAAAATCAGCCCAGTGCCCTTACAGTAACCATTTTCCGTCAGAATTTTGGGAATTTTTGCTCCATGAGGGTCAATATATATTGGGATAGTGTGTAGTTAGCTCAGTATGTAGCGATAAATGACTAGAATATTGGCTTTGAAAAATCGGGTTTCCAAGCCATAAAAACTGGACTAGATGCCTTTAAAAAGGTGCATACAACTAAGTTTTTTTCCATCAATTTCCTTGATTCATTCATTCAATATTACCCCCTTCCCCACCTTCCGCAGAACATTTTTCCCGCTTCAGTGATCACCAGACAGGTACCTGCCTGAGGCGGTAAACCGGTAAGGTACAGGCTTACCTGGGAACCGGGCGCGTCCACTTACAGATCACGGGGAGAGACACAGTAAACCTTGCTTTTTCCAGTTCATTCCAATGATAAACTCTACAGAAATGTTAACCTGCCTCCGCTAATAAGTAGTACATTATAAAGTAGATTGACTTCAGAACAGTTGTCGTTTACGGGAGCACTATGGATGACATTTTTAGTCCCTCCCTCCTTTGTCCCTGAAGAATGGTCGCGTCCATGAATGAGGTCACTCTTAATCATGTTGTCCTATTGTCCGCGACATCCGTGACGGTTAGAACGATCCAAAAGACTCGACATGCAGTTCCGGTTTTCAAAATTCACCAGACTGACAATGTTGTAAACGTTGTCTCAGCACACATAGCATAAACGTGTGTTGTTGAACAAAGTTTGGACTCGAAAAGTCGACGTTTTGGTCCGGGGCTGTCTTCGGGTCACCTGAGTGGATTGACAGGTGAGTATATACTATTTTACCCAGTCTTGGGGTCAGGGCTGATCAGTAATTAGTAACCGTCTGAATCGTTAATTGTGACTTAGAGGGCTAGCTTTTAGTCGGCCCCAAACATATATAGACGGTTTACTATGCCAAATAATTAGTGTTGTTTTCTTCTACGACTTCAGAACTTAAGATATATAGACGTTGAGCACATATGGGATAGGGAACAGATATTGGGAGGCAAGATATACATGTCGTAACTAATGAATGGATGTCACAAAGACAGGTCAGCCATGTAAATGGTTACGATCTTCCCTCCCATATTTTCTCGCACTCTTGCCTCTACTTTAAATCTTGTAATCTTGCTGGGCTTGGTTTTTGTTAGATCATTATGACAAGGCCAATGTACACGTAGATGTGGGGAAGAAAATTCAGTTTACCAAGTAAGAAACGCAAAACTATGCATGCTTTGAATAATGATAAGCCTATTATTAAGTACTGACTTCCCCTCCCCCAAGCGTTTAAAGTATTGTTCTGTGTTTAAAATACTGCCATGTTCTATAGATTGCAGTGTGTGTGTTGTGCGTGTTTCAGTGTGAAGCACAATGTGATGCAACATTAGCCTCTACCAGGCTTCGGTAGGCGGCTGGAAAGAGTAGAAATCGGCCAAATAGAGAGATAGAATGCGGCAAACCAGGGCAAACTATTCTCTCCAGCAGACCAACTCCCCTGGCATGCTATCTCTAAGTTGGTCGATTTCTACTCTTTCCAGCCGCCTACCGAAGTCTAGTAGAGGCTAATGCAACATTATCTAGATATTTTTTAACTGCCTGCCACGCCTTAGGGCGGTTATACTGGTTAAACTACATATCTTCAAGTTCAAATTCATAGTGCCTCTGACGTCACCCCAGACGGTTGGTATGTTCAGACGTGCGGCGGTTACAAAAAATCTCCAAGCAGATGTTTGAGGCGGCTACATCGTTACGTTTTTCTGCATGGCTGAAATTAATTTTGTGTGACATACTGAGGAAAGGGCATGGCTAAAAAAAACGTTACGATTTATACCACCCAACATCTGCTTGGAGATTAGTTACAAAATACATACATTACAAAATACCGGAACTAGCTAGAACTGTAAACATGGTGGCCATGTCGTGCTAATCTCCAAGCAGATCCTAGGGTGGCAAAAGACAGTATCAAATTGGCCAGGCAGTATCCATTGGCTAGAGAGGGTCCACCCTTGGGCGACGTATTGGACCCTCTCTGGCCAATGGATACCGTCTTTTGCCACCCTAGGATCTGCTTGGAGATCATTCTCGTGCGTGTATTCACAGAGCGTCAGCCATGCATTATTGAAAACTCACTGAACCTGAAAATCGCTTGCAACTTTCTGAATGTGGGAACAAGGGACTGTTGTGTTACGAAGACAAGATGCCAAGGGCTAGTCCATCTTAAAAGGGACGGTTTAAAAGTAACCAACAATGTTTGAACACGACGGTCCAATCTAATTAACATTTTATTACCCTGATCATAATTTCTATCAAAGAGCTGTATATGCTTAATACCTTTGATAAAGTGTTTCCCTAAATTTGTGAGTGAGTGACCGTGGGTGAATGAATGGATGAATGAACAAATGAATGGATGAATGAATGGGTGAATTAGTGAATGGCTGACTCTTAATGATATATAAACACATCACGACAATTTCACCATCGCCGTCATAACGACGTCCTGACTTTGTTTAATCCCTTCATCCCAGGTGTCGAATGTTCCAGCAAAGCCATGGAAGAGAACAGAAGGATCTCTCTGGGCCCTGAGTTTCTGAGATGCGGCATCTGCCTGGACTCCTTTACGAACCCGAAGGCCCTCTCGTGCCTTCACACCTTCTGTCGGGACTGTCTGGCCCAGTACGCCGCCCGGCGCTCCAGCTTCCCCTGCCCCAACTGCCGCCGGACGGTCTTCCTGCCCTCCCACAGCGGAATCGACGGGCTCCCCGACAACTTCTGGCTCGCAAGCATCAAAGAAGAGCTGAGCAAGAAGAAGAAGAAGGGGGCTCCGAATGGAGAAGAAAAATGCGCCGTACACGAGGAAGAGAAGAAGCGGTGGTTCTGCGAAAACTGCAAACACCCCATCTGTGACGAGTGTATAGTGGAGAGTCACAACGGGCACAGAGTCACCAAGTTTAAAGAGCTGCTCGCAGCAAAACGCGAAGAGATGCACTCCCTCCGACAGGCGGTGGCCGAGCAGGTAGACAGCATGAAAACGCAACTGGAAAAGACAGAGGAGGAGGGGAGAAAGATCATGGCGGCGAAGGGGAAAATTGAGGTGGAAATCAGGAGCTGCGCACAATCGTGGTGCGACATAATACGACAGAAAGAACGACAACTACTCGACAAAACGGCGACACTGACAGAGGAATCCCAAACCCTCTTCCTCGAGGAGCACGAACGGATGAGGCTGGCCATCATAGACGTCTCGACTATGCTGGACAAAGTCCAAGCTACAACAGACGAGGGCAACTTGGACGAAGTACTCCGAGGGGTAGAAGTGCTAACGACTCTGCGGCAGAACGCAGATGAAATCAAGCAAGCTTCGGCGACCATCGAAACTCCGAAAATCAGCTTCACCCCGCTAGAGGTGTGGCCTACTGAGCTAGGCGAGGTTCAAGTCACCAGCCTTCCGGACAGACGAGTTAGAGGAAAGACTAAGTCTTACAGGGACTCCGGACAGCTCAGAATGGGCGGCCAGCACATACTTTTCCCCAAGACCCCTACCAACAGAGTTGCCTCAAGCCGGGTGGTTCGAGTAGGGGGCGCGGAATGTGGAAACGGCGCCCTGGAGGAACCGTCCGGACTGGCCGTTACCGCCGACAAGAAGATCCTCGTCTCTGATTGGGCCAAGCAGCTGATCCAAGTGTTCGACCAAAACGGCCGTTTCGTCCGAAACGTCCACCTGAACGACCGCGGAAAAGTCAGCCCAGGAAGGCTTGCGGTGGACTCCAGGTCTGGGAGGATCTATCTTCAGTGCACCGTTCCCTGTAACTCTGGAAGGGATAAGAAGATCATCAAGGTATTGAGCGACCAGGGAAGGCATCTGTTCCAGCTCGGGTCGGGGCTGCGCCGACCCCACGGAGTGTCGTGTCACACCGGAACCGGAAACATCGCCATCTTGGACACAGATCTGCGCACCGTCGTCATCATGTCACGTGACGGAGAGCGACAAATGAGCACCTTCGGATGCAACCTGGAGCACAACGCCCCTCCCCCCATCTGCTTGGACTCCATCGCCGTGGCGCCGAACGGTGACGTCGTCATGGCGGACTGGTGGTACAGCTGCGTCAAGGTCTTCGATCCTGAAGGTCACGTCCGATTCACGTTTGGGTCGCCCGGAGAGCGAGGGGGTCAGCTCAACCACCCGGGAGGGGTGTGCGTGGACTCCCGGGGGAACATCATCGTGGCGGACGAGAGAAACGGGCGGGTGCAGATGTTCGATGCGTCCGGGAACTTCGCGCGGGTTCTCGCGTCAAGGTCAGACGGACTGGAGTTCCCCAACTGCGTCGCCGCGGTGGACGACGGGAAAATCGCCGTGACGGATGATGGGAAGAAGTGCGTGTTCCTGATAGAACATGATCAGGCCTAGGATTCAAGAAGTTGTCAACAAATGACTGGAAAAAACCTGCAAGTCTTCGCCAAAACCAATGGTCTTCTTTGGCGTTCAGAATCCAATTAATCTCCAAGCAGATACGTGGGGCTGTCAGCTTTTACAGGAGGCCAATGGCCTGATACAGGCAGCCAATATAGACTTCCTTTGCCCAACAGAATCTGCTTAGAGATAAAATCCAATAACAAGTCACTGCTGGTGGTGGAACGTTTATTAATATCTTTAACTATGCCATAATGTCCACACTTCTCACAAAGCAACACTTGTACAGGGTCACCAGCACAAAATGTATGGACAAAACGAGGGTGCATTCTATGTTAGTTTGACGATGTACACTTCTCTTTTGAATGTCACTGAAAATCTGCAAACAGTTGTATTGCTATAAATATGTAGTGTGCAATATAGTTGTTGTTGCAGTAGCACAAAGTTCGAAATTAGTATTCACACAAGCCAATAGTATCTTACACCATTGTGTGGACAATTTATTCTGGAATAGAGAAAGAGAATGTGTACAAAGCTTTTATATTATATTGTTACATTGCTTCCCCCTAACGTTGCCCCATTTGGGGTTATTTGGGCGTACTACTGAGACAGAGAGTAAGGCTTACAAGTAGCTCAGTGCATGCATATAATATGATATGCTTCTTTACTCAGTATTTGGCTAGCTTGGGGCTTGGGATTATAACATAGACGCTGTACACATATATGAGAAATCAAGAAAGTCCGAACATTGTATGCCAACTTGCAGAGAAATATAAATGTTGATTTAATCAATAAAAAGAGCATGCCTTCTGTTATACATCATGTTTGCAAATGCACAAAGGACACTGAGCAAAAAAAGCCAATAAAACTAAGCTTCATAATGCCCTAATTGCAAAGTATATCTTATATGACATGGTCAAAATAGAACATTGGTTACTCTAAAGGGTTATAAACAAAGCTAACATTCATAATACCCTAATGCGTATCCATGCATGGCCAAAGGATATCTTAATATAACATGGGTCAAATGGGGTATTGGTTACTATAAAGCAGGGCTCAAAATACTGGGTGCATGTGCACCTTAGTGCACCCAAAATTGGAGCTGTGCACCCAATTTTTTCTGTGGGTGCACCAAAATATTTTGTAGGTATTTTTGTACATATCAAATGTATAACAGTATGCAGGATATTCTTGGCATACAAGTGTCAGAAAAATGATAAAATCTTTGTTGTATAAAATCCCATTTCGGATTCAAGCTCAGAAGAGGAGCAGTAAGATCTGTAATTAGTTTTTGTGTTATATGGTGCACCCCAAAAAATTTTGTGCACCTAATTCTTTAGGTTGGCTGCACCGGTGCACCTATTCGCAAAGTGAATTTCGAGCCCTGCTCTAAGGGGTATGAGATGTCCATTGTTTTCCTATATATACCTTATATGACCCCATGTCCTCGTCGGTTTCGCGAATTTTGACTATTTTTGGAATGAACAGCTCCGTTCCAGGAACTAGTGCATAACCAAAGACCTCGAAGGGTGGATTTTTTGAATATCAAAACATCGCCATAACGCTTTGTTTATGGGTCGATGTTTAGACCAATTTCCCAAGCCGCCAGCAGATCTGCATAACATGAGTATTTACTGGAAAAAATACCGGAACGCCTTCGGCGAAAAATAATTGTTCGACCCAAAACACTCTACGCCCCCCCACCACGCACATACACTTAAAGGGAGCGACTCAAAACTTCTATCTCCCTTTCCGGAAAAAATTCGTTCAGTATCTCAGAGGTAATTGTCAACTATATACAAGTGATCAGACAACGTGATTTCAGTTACAAATCCAGTATTGTACACATTTGTGTAGGAGGCGAATCCAAGCAATATGTCCAGAACATTTGACTTCACTGTCATAAAAGATATAGATTTAGAGTTGTGTACCCACCATTTCTTTATATAACACATCCAAACGACCAGCTACATTTAATAATCATACTTGCTTCTTTCATATCTATACTTTCAACACATATTCTGATCTTATCCCGTAGATGATTAAAACGTAATTCAGTAAAACCAATACAAAAGCACCAGCACTTTTATTTCTCCCTCTGAAGCTACGTGCATTTGAATCAGTCCAATTTCTTCACAACTGCGCAACTAGTACCAAAATAAGGCATACTCCCGCAAACGTGCGTCACTCTCTTAATTGTCTGCGTGTTTTCCATCTTGGCTAAAATAAGCTCCGCCCATTCCTTTCCACCAGCCAATAGGAATGCTGGATGGAAAGCCTAGGGGCTGCAAACCTGCACTAACCCTGCTGGGTTTCTTGATAAGACGGCGAAGTATAACCAAGGTGTGTGGTTGTAGCTTTCGCGCCTTATTCTACTTAGACCACCGCAGAAGAACTCTGAACACCCACGTTGAGACTAAAACTAACCAGCTTCCAAGGGCATCAGGATCGTATTGTCACAACTTGACCTTAACACTGCGCCGGTTGAGATCAGAGCACAGAACTGCATCGCCCAGTTTTTGTCAACGTTACACAACAACGTAACACTTCTAGCTCGAAGGAAGAACAGACAAAGTTGCAGACCGTCAAAGCAGCGGAACCTGAGAGAGAGAAAAAAACGTCTCGTCTTGAAGATGGGGACAAACAGCGGAGGATTTTACATCCCGGAGATCCATGTTCACCCTCCCTCCCCTGAGCTAGCTCCCTGTACCCGGGGGCCGGAGCCTCACGTGCGGAAGGATGATGCAGGCTACGACGCCGTGGGCTGTCCCGGTAAAAACGGCTCACGGCAAGACAGCGGGCTGCTCACCGTCCCCAACAGAGCCGACCATTTCTTATACACGTCCCCGGGAAGGGCGCCAAAATGTAGCGGGAAATGCAAGCTATCAGAAGACGGGAAACTCGCCCCGAATAAGACCTTATACTGGCGGGGCTCTCCCGAAGTCAGGCGGGCGCAGCCGCGACCGCGCCGGAGGGAGGACAGCCCGTACATTGACCCCATCGACGCCCTGCGGAGCAATCCTTCCCACGACTTAGCCGAGGAGGCCCGCTACACCGAGCCGTATAACTCCCGCAAAAACTCCGCATACCAATGGAAGAAGATCGCAAGGCGCGATCCTGGACCGAAAGGGACCTCTACGTACGAAAACGTTGGGAGAGAAGGCGGTGGTTCGAGGGGCTCACTGGTGCAACAGTGCGCGTGTCAGTGTAGCAGGAACATCGCAACGCCGCCGGCTACTGGTGAGGGTCATGGGACTAGGCAGGAACCGGGTACAAGTTCCACTAACACCAGGTAAGGCCTTAGCTTACATATGGCTCTTTTTTATCTTATATTAACGACCGCATCGACATTTTCAAACACACGCGTGCCCACGTGCCAACTCCCACATAGTACCCATAAATAAACACATACATGTACATAAACAAAGAAGTACCGCATAAATGAAATATTCACAAACAAATGAAGATACCTGTACCTGTCTTTGGTGCTGAACACTATATACACATGTCCTTGGTGCTGAATGCCATCCAATTCTAAGCACTATCCAAACACAGGTTAACATGCCTGTCCTTAGTACTAAACGCCATCCATACACTGTTAAAATGCCTGTCACTAGTTCTACACACTATTCAAACACGGGAACATGCCTGTCCTTGGTGCTGAACGCCATCCATACACTGTTAAACATACCTGTGCCTGTCATTAGTTTCACACACTATCCAAACACAGGGGAACATGCCTGTCCTTGGTGCTAAACGCCATCCATACAGTGTTATACATGCCTGTCCTTGGTGCTGAACGCTATCAATACACAGTTATAGTTATACATGTCTGTCCTTTTTTCTACGCACTATCCAAACGTAGGGGATCATGCTTGTCCTTAGTAGTTAACACAATATGTCCACACATAACGTTACAGATGAACATGAAATTATGACAAATATGTTACTAAAACAAGTGTTTATCTCCTAACAGAGAACCAGAAGCCGAAAATCACGACTACCATGACGTCAAACCAACCGACCCCACCGTTTGCGAGCCTTATATGGTAACCAACATGACCACAATAACTCAACAATGGCAGCCATCTTGGAACGACATCAAGTCGTCTGTCGGTAGCCATGGCAACGGCCCTGAGGAAAACAACCAGTACGAGGTGATTCCGGACCACGCTGGGCCCGAGGTTGTTTTAGAGAACAGAATCAACATGGCGGCCGCGGAGGGCGATGCCATTCAGGCGGAAAATAGGGGACATTTCTTCTTCCTCTTTCTGTTCCTGTTGCTGTTTGTAGCAGGGATCGTCTGCCTTATTCTGCGATTCTCGGTGAGTTTTATTTTATTTATTGTATCTTGATTTTATTGTTTGTATGTGACAGTACATGTATGTATTCTACTTGTTTCATTTATATTATCTACTTGTTTATTCATATATGACAAAGGTGAAGCATTGTTTTCAACTGAACTGGGTAACCCTGGATAAAAATGACGAAGAATAGAAAAATAAAAAATACATATTTCGATTATATTGTTTGTTATCAATTGTTGTAATTCATAAGGCAATATTTGATGCTTTGTTGGCCATATTAATTAAACATAACATAAGGAGAGAAAAAGACGATACTGATTGACTTGGAAGAATCGTAATTACATTAAAGAGATTCGAAAAATGTCCAAAAACTTTTAGATTCAGGTGAAAAAGTTTTCTTCCATTGGTATTTAACTTTTTATGGCCTATTTGTAGCTTTTTTTAGCTTATTTTTCATTTTGTTTTTTTAGCTTGTTGCGGAGACTTTTCCTAGAATTCTGGAACCTTCACCTTTCGATGCGCTCTAGTTTTGTGACATGTTGCCAAAAAAACAGTGTCTGTTTACATCACGTTTCCATGGGAACCGCCAAGAAACTAATCATCTCAAGAACCAATCTGTAGTATCAAATTACATATGCATGAATAGCTAACATTCAGACGTGTTTTTTTTTTTCATGAATACGAAATGCAATATTTTGCTTCAGTAAGGTTGTTGTGGTTCTCACCAGTTTTAAAACTGTACCTCCCTTGGAATGGCCTTTCGAGGATTGTGAAATATGTTTTTTAATTGAATTGCATGAAAATCTAAACATTTTGAATTGTAAAACATCCAAATCTAAACAAACACATGCACTAAGATAGAAAGTACGTATGAGTAGTGCTTGAGTTCACCAACACCCCCACCCCCTTCCCATGGCACACCATAAATTGTCAATATGTACATGTACTGGTTAATTTCGAGATTTAAGTTGGTTTGAATTACTTCTATCTAGTTATCATATTCATAGAAAATATACTAACTTATTCCTTTTTCTTCGCCAGACTTCAACGTTTCAGCATGCGCAAGTCAGTACCGGAAATATGCCTGGAGGAATTCAGCTGATACCATAATACAACAACTTAAAAAATAAAAAATTATCAGGTGCCATGCAAACTTCTACCGCTAGGAAGCGCCACTGACTTTTGAACCTCAAGAAGAATGACCAGAAAATTGAATTTTAAAATCGAGTTTTGCCGTCCTGATATTGTATTGGATGTATTTAACAAATGAAATACAAGAAGGGCGCCCCATATCACCAGTGTTGTGATGGAATATGTACATATTATTATATTATATTCAATGGTAATGTAGAGAGGCCATGACTTGGCTGTTGTGATGTGTGTCTATTGGAAAATATGAGAAAAAAGAATGAACACAAAATTGTACTCCTAGAGAGCTGTTACAGAGTTTTATCATACCTAAGATTATATTATAAGACTAAGATTGTATTATATTAGAACTATATACTACTATAGAATATAATTAATATTTGGTATCTGCGATTGTAATTTTTACCTCAAGTTTTGCAAACTATTTCATACCTTTGTTGAAGCTGAAAAGAGTGAATTTTTGTAAGGGTACAACGTTGGTACCTTCTTGGGATTCGAACCCAGGACCTTTAGATTTAGTTCAACAAACACAACGCCACTATGCCAAATAAAGAACATTTTCTTCCAGCAAACCTTTATTCAGCATATATTGTAACCCATACAGATAAACACACATAGTAACAACAATAATAACTATTGTATGAATAATCATGATCGTATTCATACAATGTATAACAAACTATTGTTTTCTAAATATATTTATACTTGAGACTCATCTATATTCCCAAAGGCAAAAGTAATTATGTACAAATTCCATGTAAACTTTAACTAGATTTTCTCTTTTCTTACTATCAATGAAGAGTTAACATTTCCTATTCATGCTATTGATTATGAGTGGTCTTATATGATTTCTAACCATTGAATGTACCAATAGTAGTATCTAACGTGCATTGTACATGTATCTTGTTCGTGGTTGTTCATATTGCAAAATGCCAAAAGGATAGTGTTTTAGTATGAGTAAAATAAATATTTACTGACTTAAACTGAATTCTCGCTGGTCGAGTATATAGATTTGAATGTAAATTTTGGACACTATATTTATTGTATTTCATTTCTCAAGTATCACTTTGTGTATAAGATCATTAATACACTAAATATATCTAATCTATATATCTATGGTTTTATCATAATATGATTTTATCATATCTTTATACTTGCATTCAATTGTAATGTACATATGATCTATAATAATGGTTGTCAAGGAATCAATTTGATTATCAAAGAATAAATTGAGCTATCACCTTAAGATACCACGTTTTTTTGTACACCATGATTATATACGGCTATACACATTATATCATTATACATTATACATATATCCCATAAACCAAGAAACAAACAAACAGACAAACAAACGGCTCTGAAAGCATAATCGGGGCTCCTGTGCACCTGAGATACAAGTACAGTCAAACTTAATAAAACGTTAAACTTTATTCCAACACACAATTGCACAGGCCACTGTCGCCTTCATCAGGTGAATAAGGTCACGTGTTTGTAACCGTAACTCTCGCAAAATCACGTAGTGAAGTGATTGGTCATTAATTATCCTGATGAAGGTGGCAGTGGTCGCGGAAACTTGATCCTTGTACAATTGTGTGTTGGAATAAAGTTCAACGTTTTACTATGATTACTACCAACACAGAGGAATTTTCATGATAATACAGTCAAACTTGCTACCCGCATTGTTCCTCATTGCAACCAAGCTAAATCTATACTTTTCGTCGTAAGTCTTTTTTCCAGAAGAGGAAATATCTAGATGTTTTCCAAATCAAGTACCGAGTCCCGTTAACACTATTATCACTTCAGAAATTCAACAAAGTTGATTTAATAAGTGTTTCACACGTCAACTTTTCGTGCTACTAACTTGCCAACTTCAGGCAATGTGCATTTAAAAGTTCAAAAGAACATGAAAACAAATCTGGCACAGATTTTGATGACGTAGATTTCATAAAATTGTGTAGTCCGTAGCTAGTGACGACACATTTTTATGTGTGCTACGTCATCGAAATCTGTGCCGTGTGACGTCACGACTTTGACCCTACTTCCCATGCTCCATGACTTTCTGCCCACAGACATACACCTCCTGGATGTTTCTGTCATCACCTGCAACAGAAGTGAATAAATAGTATAGTACATTTTTTTAAACAATAAGAAACACTATTGAACACTATACACGCACAGGTGAACATGTCTGTCTTTGGCACTGAACACCATCCACACAGGTGAACATGTCTGTCTTTGGTACTGAACACCATCCACACAGGTGAACATGTCTGTCCTTGGTGCTGAACACTATCCACACACAGGTAAACATGTCTGTCCTTGGGCTGAACACTCATCCACACACACACATACTTGGAGTATGCAAGGTAGAGTTTAAAATTAGTTTCCATTGAAGAACGTTCTAACATGAAGGGTTGTTGTATTTTGTTTGCATGAATCATTTTATAGAGGTACCAATGGCACATTATGAGTTAATTACAGTTGTTTTATTGAAAAGTTAATATCATAAATTCTGATGAAAGTCTCAAAGAAGTTATCAATACTTTAACAAGTAGAATAGGACAAAGTCATATGAGACTAGAACATGAAATATTATTCTTAGTGCAATTAATTTTGAGACGGATATATTTTCATTTAGTATCAAAATAAAGAGCGTCACTTACCTATGAAAAGGAACTTCTGAACAAGGTCCTGGTGGCCAAAAATAACAAAAAAACACAGTAAGAACCAGTTAAGAACGAACAATACGAGGTATCTTTTCCACAGTAATACTACAAAACCATTCTGGTGCATTAGAAAACATACAATACAACCATCTACCTCGATAGAGTCGAAGTCGAAGGTGTCCACACGACTGGAAGAACTATCCATGTCAATCAGGAGAGCATCGAAGTCCTTCCCCTCTTCAAAGTTCCCGATGGTATCGTCCAGGGCCAAGGCTAAACAAAAACAAAAATAAAAACATGAACATCTATCTACCGAAAATATTCATTTTACAAATAATGTAAGAGAGAGCTATACACTGAACTGAGTATATTTGTGGTACGAAGATATGGATTTTGAGGGAATACTACTGTTACAAAACTTTCGTGACCATAGCATGTCAAGATCACGAGATAGCAAGGCTGAAAATTCCGCTGCAGTACCATAACAAGCCGCCAGGGGGGCCAAAATCTAATCATTTCCGGTTGTCATCAAGACCTACCACCTACCAACTTTCATGACGATCCATCTACAGTACCTCGAGTTATCTTGCTAAACCACATACATACATACACGCATGCGTACTACAAACATACATATATGCACACACATACACACACAAACGGTTGGCAAAGGTAAGAATGGTCCAAACCAACCTTCTGCGCCCCCTAGCGTCGCCATGCGGAACGCCTCCTGGTAGGAGATGGGTCTGTAGTCGGCGGGCCGCTGGATACTGATGGCGTTTGACGTGTGGATGGCCAGGCGGATGGCGTCCAGCATGGACGGGTGGTACCCTCCTGACACATCTGTGGACCAGGCCGTTAGTAAGTCAAATCCTTCCCACGCAGTAGTACGTAACAAGTTATATCACTAATACTTAAACTTGACCGGTACCTTTGTTTTCCTTACCCCAACCTACCAACTAAATATCATAAATATATGTGCCGGTTTAAAGCCTGTTAATTTCCTCACCGGTTCCCAAACCGACTTTCAGGCCTCTGTCGAGCCATGTCCTAGCGTCCATCATTCCGCTACAGATTCTGCAGAATTAAGAATAGAAAAGGAACATTTTTAGTGTTTAAAGTTAAAACTTTTGTTCAAACACAAAGAAATGTGCTCACTTAGAGCTTTCGACCAGTCACTCTTGTCTTCTTCAGTAGACGCTTGTCATGTGGCTTCTCTGAAGTGTGACGTCGTCACTGGGTCGAAGGTATCTGATCGAAAGCTTGAGGTGAGGACAATTCTTTGTGTTCGAACAAGTTTTAACTTGAAACATGTAACTAGCAACACATATGAACGGTTATGACATTTTTTTGGTTCCAAAATATGAAGGTTACAATGAAAAGCCTTGTCAAATAGTGTTGAATGTATGAAACAGACTATCGACAGCCGACTTACGATAGGTTGGAGTTGGGGCAGTGTGACACGCCCACACCTCTCTCCCTCATCAGGTCCAAGTCAAACTCCGTCAGGTAGACACAGTGGGCCATCACGGTCTGTGGGGACGTACACAACACTCAGTAAGTACGCCAATCAACCTAATCTCCAGGCAGATCTTTTGGGTGGCCGCAAAGACAGTATCGAATTGGCAAAGCTGTATCCATTTGCTAGACAGTATCCAATACACTGGCAAATGGATACCGCCTGGCCAATTTCATCCTGTCCTTGCAGCCACCACAAAATCTGCTTACAATCAACCCACAATGAACTGGGACGGCGGCCGGTATCGACTTCTCGCTCGACCTTTGACCCACTCCTGACGTCACGCATCCCAAAGATCATTGCGCGTCAGGACAGAAGGTTTAATTCCTGATGAAGGACACGGTCGAAAATATGGCGAACCGTACCATTCCTTTGTGTATAACAGTAAACAAATTTTAAAGAATGTGTGAAGCAAACATAGACTTTGGCTTTATATTGAGACCGGGAAGAGATGACAAGTTGTTTTTGCTTCTGATTGATTGAAATTTGATATATGACCTTGTTGGTGAAGACGCCACACTTGTCGTAGACGTCCGTGTAGCAGTCGTACTGAGGAAACAGTTCGCTCACTAACGTCACTTCAGCCGGGCTCTCACACAGGTGACTCTGAAGGGCAGAACATAAACATTCGTGAAGAACGAACATGATTCTCAACAATGGCTTGTTTGTTCATTTGTTTGTTATACCCATCAACCGCTTCAAGGCGTAATGCATTCAGTATGTACAGAGACCTGACTGATTCTTTTGATACGTATGGTGGATTCTTTACTGAACTAACAAGAAGAGACTGAAAAGGTTATGAAAATATTATAGAAGAACTTTATTGCACGACAATTGTACATGGTTTAATGTATGGCAACGATTATCTGGTCTCACCTGTATGGGCAGGTCGTACTTCTGGGCCAGTTTCCCGAGCCCAGACATCAGCTCAGTGGTACAGGCGACGGCGTACCGGGGTGTGATCACCGGAGTGATGAGGGGGTTCTGAAAAAACACATATGAATTAGGAAGGTATGAATCAATATATTACCTTTCGTATTGACTAGAAAGATAACATTTTCTAGCAAATGCATACTGTTAACCTTCACATGATCTATGTAGCTAGCCTAACAAACTACTGTTCTGTTTATTCTTATTAATTGAATACATCTATATACATGTACTAGCATATGGTGACCAGCCCCTACTACTCTGTCATGCTACATAATGTAACCCAAAACGACGGTGTTTGCTATAGGACTAGTTACCATGGTGACAGACGTCTGACCCAGGTTATTGACCTTATGTGTTTGGAGAAGTTTTAAAAGAAGAAGAAACGTTAATCAACACAAACATATTGAAAAGGAAGTCGTACCTTTCTTCCCAGAACCTCTTTGATGAATCTGAAAGTACAATAAACGCGTAGATTTAAATTTGACATCTGTTTCGAACTCTTAATCTGCTCAAGTAAAGCTTTTGTGCTCATATCAATCCGGTATACCGCTACATGCTTACCTAATTGTACAAAATTCCTGTTTTTACAGTTTTTTAAAAATTGATTTGAAGTTTTAAGGGAGAAGAAATGAAGATACTTACTCCTCTGTATTCTTCAGTGACGCGTCTGTTCCCTCACAATAGTGGTCAGGCACGTTCTGGTCACTGTTACACTTCCCCACGTAAGCCCTCTGGCCGAAATACTCTATTAAGTACAACAAGAAATATGAGCTGTCAGGAGTCTAAATCTCTCCTGCTATAAAATTGCAACATGATGCAACCCAACATTGGTTACAGACGCAACATTGGTTCAGGTTATTGAGGTCACTATTTGAAGAAGAAGAAAATGAAGACGAAACTGAGCAAAAACAGTATGTTTTATTTACCTGCAGCGTCACACAGAGCCATGGATGCCTTCTTGTGGATGGTGGCGAAGTAACTGGCGGTCGTGGTGCCACACGACAGCGTCTTGTGCTGCGAGGAAAAAGAACGGTCAAGCTTTGGGGAAAAAAATCAATGGACACAGGCTCTCTAGATTCACAGTAACAAGGGACATAGAGATGTAAGATGTGTTCAGTACCAAGGACAGACAGCCCTAGCCTCCTTCGCAGACTTGTGGGGCGGCGGCGTTATTTTTTTCGGGGGGTGACGCGGGTCATTTGGAGAGAGATTTGCCGCCGTTAGAGTTTTTTCGCAGCCCAACAAACAACAAACAGAGACAAACTACATTGTTTTTAGGACTGTATGGGGGGGGGGGTAGCTGTTTGGCCAGCCATGAGGTTTCTTCGCTAAAGTCTCACCACGACTTTCTTGTAGACGTCCCGTGCGAAGTCCAGATCGCTGTACTTGGTCTCCAGCGGGAAGGTGTAGGCGTGGAGCCACTCCAGCAGCGGCAGGTCCACCTTGGTGCCCGTGTTGGGGTACTGGGGAGCGTGGATGTGCGTGTCGATGAACCCGGGGATGATAAACTGGCTGCAGTAAAACACAGGGCATACAGCTATAGTAAAAAACATATACTCGAACTAACAAACGACAAGCACATGAGGTGCACTGCCGTGACGTAGGGACCCCCCACGAAGCCCATTTTTGCACTTGACCTTGGTCTTTACAACGGTAACCTGCCTGCCAAAAATTATGAACATCGAACCACGCCTTCAAGAATTATGCCGCTAAATCCACAGCAGCTTTCGTGGAAAACAAGTGCACAATGTTTTACACTTAACTTACATGGTCTAGATCAATAAACTAATGCTCTGTATATATGGTGACCAGTCCCTCCATGCTACTTGCTACATAATGTAATCCAACACTACAGGGTGTCTGCTACAGCACCAGTTGCCATGGTGACAGACGTCTCACAAATAGCCTGTAAGGTTACCTGTCGGTCAGGTTGTGCACAGACGGGTTGAAGCCAATCTCGGCTGCAAGGTCCTCAAGGGAATCATCGTCCTTAACAAACAGAATCTGAAAAAAATCCAACCAGCGTCAAATTACTGAAGCACACACAAGCTATGACTTACACGTATTTATCAATTTTGAACCAACCCAACAACAAACGTTTAGTGGAAACAAAGGGAAATCAACCAATAGATATATACGTCAACGTTCAACACAAAGCATAACTTGAAACATAAATAACTTATAAAGTAATAAAATAAAAATAACTCAAAAAGATACGAATATTGTGACTCATTTGCCTAGCCTGAGTTTCTTAAGATCCCCTTTTCCTGTAGAAATTGATCATTAATATTCTGCTTCTTGAAAAATGAATGTATTTAGTGAAAGACTGAAAGATCAAGTGAATGGACTAGATTGTTACGATATTGGTAGAAGACTGTATCCTACATTGAAGATTGAAGTAAATGTTTCACTGATGGCCTTGTTACCTTTCCGGATGGGTCGACCCCAATGACCCCGTTCTTGAGGATCTGCATGGGTTTATCCTTGGTGGAGTGCACCAGTGTGCCGCGAAACACCTTCACACCCTCCGACTCATGGCCTGGGCCGAACCCGTTCTGAACTGCAATGAAACCCAGGATATTGTTTTGACCGAATGATTTTGAAGTCGAAAAAAAAAACATTTGCAAGCAAGTACAGAATGTTCAACGTTACAACATATCACAAAAAATCCAAGACCATAGCATGTTCAGAACACAAGATACAAAAACCGGAAGTTCTGCTGCAGTACCAAGGTCAACACGAGGCTCATATTTAACATTGACCTTTGCCTTCCTGCGACCTACCAACATACCAAATATCATCACAATCCATGAAGGTGTTCTGAAGTTATGCTGACTAGAAATGTGCGGAAACACAGACACACACACAGACACACACACACACACGCACGCCAAAAACAATACATCCATTTTCATGGAAGTAACAATATGTTTTCCTTCTGCCAAGGAAAATATACCAATATAGGGAGGTAAAAAGGTATATGTCCTTACCATATCCAGGGTACACATCATTTCCGTTGCAGTCCTCCATGATGTCACGTCAAGAACGAAAAATGCAGTTGAGCGGGCTTTGTTTCCGGATGGCTGCGAGGACACAATACAGGTTATCGTTACATCGCTTACGATCTATTAATAAAGGTATTTGCTACACTAAACACTTGTAACCACTAAAGATACACCGTACAAGAATCCGGTCAAGTAGGCTATATAACTAGGGCAATTCCCCGGGGGTACTTAGCTAGCCAAGGACACTGAAGTGACCTCTAAAAATATAAATTTTCAAGTTGACTAACTAATCTTGCAAGTCATGAATGAATTCGTCAATTTTCCCCAAAATGATGCACCATTTTTGGCGACCCATTTGACATTCTGGCCACTCATTTTGGCCAGTTGTTCACCTTATAACATTTTGGCCAATTATTCACCTTATTTTACCAATACATTTTAAAGCCACAGAACCCCCGTCAAAACAGCAAACCGCCATTTTAGGTTTGAATCAAATACTCCACCCTCAGTCACCCTTTCTACACACGTTTACCAGATACAGCGTTAACTTGTATATTCATACTGTCTTGAAAGCTTTCTAAGACCGCGTAACCTTGAATTTGAGACTCACCTTAACAATTACCGGCGCATATCTTTCAAAATGTGAACGTCGTCAACTCAAAATCAGTCTAGTAGTAGTATAGGGTGGGTAGAACTGGTTATATATTAGTTGTAGGTAACGAGTTTAGATGTAATAAATTAGACCAACTCCCTTTGTCTCTCGAATTCTTTGAAGTGAACGGGTGTGAAAAATAAGTATCAAACAAGGGAGGTAAAAAAAAACAAGTCTTTCTTTGATAATCTGACATTTAACTGCGCTCAATGTTTAACTTAGAAGTGATTGTAACTATAACTTCAGCATGAGGGAGATTTACAACATGTGTATTTGGGTTGTTTGTTGAGGTGTTGTTACTACTGTAGCGATTTAATTGTTTGGAAATTTTATCTGAAATGTCAACGTGCGTCGTGGCACGCTCCGCCCATTTTTTGGCTAATCTGTGTTCACTAAACTTTCGTAGCCACAAAGATGGTAACGTTATATACACTGTAGCAGAAACCCGAAAAGTGGGTCAAAGTAAAAGATAATTTACCGGGAGTACTTAGCTAGCCAAGGGCACGGAAGAGGGCTATATCTTTTCAAGGACGAGGTACTTAGCTGATAGCTAGCTAAGGACACTGAAGAGGGCCATAACTCATCAGTTTTCAAGGACACCTCAGTAGTTGGTCAACTCATCTGGCAATTGATTCGTCCTTTTCACACTTTAGGCGAAAAATTTGACATCTGGCCACTCATTTTGGCAACTATTTACCTTATGAAATTTTGGCCAATTATTCACCTTATTTTATCAATTCTTACATTTTAAAGCCAGACAACCTACGCCACAGCAGCGAACCGCCATTTTGAGTTTGAATCGAACACCCCAGTCGACCTTTCTAAGCACGTCTGACCAAATACAGCGTTAACTTTTACACTCAAGCTGTATTGAAAGCTTTATAAGACCACGTACTAGTAACCTTGAATTTGAGACTCACCCTAACAATTACCGGCGTATACCTTTCAAAACGTGAACGTCGTCAACTCAAACTCAGTCTAGACTCTAGACTAGTCTAGTAGTAGTAGAGGGTATGTTGGCCTGGTTATATTAGTTGTAGATGATAAACTAGATCAAACATTAGGGAGGTAAAGAACAGGACTTTCTTTGATAACCTCACATTTACTGCGCTCAATGTTTACTAGTAACTTAAAAGTGATTGTAACTATGATTTCGGCATGAGGGAGAGTTACAACATATTTCCGTTGTTTGCTGAGGTATTGTTACGATTGCTACGATTTAATTGCTTGGAAATTTCACCAGAAATGTCAGCGTGCTTCGTGGCACGTTCCGCCCATTTTTGGCTAATCTTCATTATGCATGACCCTACCCTGTGTTCACTTTGGTAACTCTCGTAGCCACTAAGATGATATACTAGTATACACTGTAGAAAAAAAACGATGAAAGGGTCAAACAAGAACGACCATTTGCCGGGGATACTTAGCTAACCATGAGACACCGAACTATAACTCAGTTTTCAAGGGCGTCTCATGCATCAGTAGTTGGTCAACTCATCTGGCAATTCATTCATCCATTTTCCCACTTGATTCACCCCTTTTGGCGAAAAATTTGACATTCTGGCCACTCATTTTGGCCAATTGTTCACCTTATAACATTTTGGCCAATTATTCACCTTGTTTTACCAATTCTTACATTTTTAAAGCCAGAGGACCCACGTCACAACAGTAAACCGCCATTTTAGGTTTGAATCAAATACTCCGCCCTCAGTCACCCTTTCTACACACGTTTACCAGATACAGCGTTAACTTGTACATTCATACTGTCTTGAAAGCTTTCTAAGACCGCGTAACCTTGAATTTGAGACTCACCTTAACAATTACCGGCGCATATCTTTCAAAATGTGAACGTCGTCAACTCAAAATCAGTCTAGTAGTAGTATAGGGTGGGTAGAACTGGTTATATTAGTTGTAGTTAACGAGTTTAGATGTAATAAATTTGACCAACTCCCTTTGTCTCTCGAATTCTTTGAAGTGAACGGGTGTGAAAAATAAGTATCAAACATTAGGGAGGTAAAAAAAACAAGCCTTTCTTTGATAATCTGACATTTAACTGCGCTCAATGTTTAACATAGAAGTGATTGTGACTATGATTTCGACATGAGAGTTACAGCATGTGTATTTTGTGTGGTTTGCTGAGGTATTGTTACTACTGTTGCGATTTAATCGTTTGGAAATTTCATCTGAAATGTCAACGTGCGTCGTGGCACGCTCCGCCCATTTTTGGCTAAGTCAAGCATAAACATGCATGCATGGCCCTTCTCTGTGTTCACTAACTTTCGTTGACACTAAGATGGTATATATACTGTAGGCAGAAACTGGTGAAGTAGGTCAAATAAGGAGGATACTTTGCCGGGGATACTTAGCTAGCCAAGAACACTGAGAAGGGCTATAACTCAGTTGTCAAGGACGCCTCAGTAGTTGGCAAACTAATCTGGCAAGTCATGAATGAATTCGCCCATTTTCCCGAACGATTCGCCATTTTTTGGGAAACCATTTGACATTCTGGCCACTCATTTTGGCAACTATTTACCTTATGACATTTTGGCAAATTACTCACCTTATTTTACCAATTCTTACATTTTTAACCCAGAGGAACCACGTCACAGCAGTAAACCGCCATTTTGAGTTTGAATCGAACTCCACAGCCGACCTTTCTAAACATGTCTACCAGATAGCAGCGTTATCTTTTACATTCAAGTAGTCTTGAATGCTTTATAAGACCACATAACCTTGACTTTGAGACTCACCTTAACAATTGCCGGCGTATACCTTTCAAAACGTGAACGTCGTTAACTCAAAATCAGTCTAGTAGTAGTACAGGGTGGGTAGAACTGGTTATATTAGTTGTAGCTAACGGGTTTAGATGTAATAAATTAGACCAACTCCTATAGTCCCTTGAATTCTTTGAAGTGAACGGGTGTGATAAATGAGTATCAAACATTAGGGAGGTAAAGAACAGGGCTTTCTTTGATAACTTATTGTCTGACATTTAACTGCGCTCAATGTTAAAAAGTTAGAAGTGATTGTAACTATGATTTCGGCAAGAGGGAGATTTACAGAATTTTGCGTTGTTTGCTGAGGTATTGGTGACGTTACTACTGTTGCGATTTAATCGTTTGGAAATTTTATCTGAAATGTCAGCGTGCGTCGTGGCACGCTCCGCCCATTTTTGGCTAAGTCAAGCATAAACATGTGTATGCATGACCCTTCTCTGTGTTCACTAAACTCTCGTAGCCACTAAAACGACATATTATATATACTGTAGCAGAAACCGATGAAGTGGGTCAAATAGGGATACTTTGCCGGGGATACTTAGCTAGCCAAGAACACTGAAGTGACCTCATAACTTTTCAAGGGCGCTTCAGTAGTTGGGTAACTCATCTGGCAAGCCATGAATGAATTCGTCCATTTTCCCGAACGATTCACCATTTTTGGCGAAACAATTGACATTCTGACCACTCATCCACCATTTTGGCCAATTACTTTACTTATTTTACCAATTCTTACATTTTTAAACCTAGAGGAACCACGTCACACCAGTAAACCGCCATTTTGAGTTTGAATCGAACACCACAGCCGACCTTTCTAAACACGTCTGACCAGATAAAGCGTTAACTTTAACACTGAACTAGTCTTGAAAGCTTTATAAGGCAGCGTAACCTTGAATTTGAGACTCACCTCAACAATTGCCGGCGTATACCTTTCAAAACGTGAACGTGGTCAACTCAAAATCAGTCTATAGTAGTCTAGTAGTACAGGATACGTTGGCCTGGTTATATCAGTTGTAGGTAATAAATTAGATCAACGTCTATTGTTTCTCGTGTTCTGTGGTAAAGTTATATGTATATATAATTAAGGGGTGCGATAAATGAGTATCAAACATTAGGGAGGTAAAGAACAGGACTTTCTTTGATAATTTGACATTTACTGCGCTCAAATTACTGTAAATTCGGCGCGAGGGAGATTTATAACATCTTGCGTTGCTTGCTGTCAGGTATTGCTACTACTGTTGCGATGTAATTGCTTGGAAATGTCATTTGAAGTGTCAGCGTGCTACGGGGCCCGCTACGCCCATTTTTGGCTGATCTTCAATCATATGTGAGGGCCTGCAAGGGGGGAGTCCTGACAATCTCTCTACGCTGAATTCGGAAACCTCTCGCTTTTACGCTTTACGATAAATTCCAAGTGGCTACAGCGCATTACGTAGAATTAAAACGCCGAATACGCTCTACGTAAAAATATTAGAGCGGTCCGTCTACGCTCTACGTAGAATTAAAACGGCCGATTACGCTCTATGGAAAAGGCTTGCCGGCCCCCATATGTAGCCTTTACCATGCCTGTCTTTGGGAATATGGATCGTAGCAGTTGAAGAAAAGGAGAGTAAAATTGGCCAGACGATTCTTTTCCTGCGCGGCCAGTCAAACCCCAAGGCCGCCAAACTCACCTGGCAAAGATTCTCCCCATACAAAGCCAACGTTTCATTCGAAGTTTCATATCGAAGTTAACGTGCTTTGGGGCACGTTACACCCACGTTTTCATGATTTTGGGTAATCCTCAAGCAGATGTATGGCCCTGCTCTATGTTTAACTCGTGTTTTTGAGGGTTTTTTTGTATGTCTATTGGTTCACGTTTTCCATGCCATCCCCATACATCTGAGATTAGGGTCCAGCGCTTTTGATGTTTTTTTTTTAAACTGCAAGAAATAATCGAAGAGCTGCAATTTGACAGAAAGCTGCAAGGGGACACGCATCTAACATTTCCGTCCTATCCGAGGGACATCCCTAACCGAAGCTAGGTACTAATTGCCACCTGAGTGAAGTGAGGAAAGTCGTGTAGAGTGCCTTTCCCAAGGGCACAAGATCGGTGACATGGGCAGGATTCGAACCCGCGACCTCTTGGGTGTGAGCCGAACACAGTTTGCCAGTACGCAGACTACTGTTCAAAGATCATTCGTCCTATATATAGTAGTATTTTCTCCTTTTGTTCACTAGGCTCCCCCCACCGGGTAAAATTTCCACCGACGGTGTCTGATTTAGGTCACTGGCCGCGGTCCAACTCTTGCGAGGCGTGTTTACCAACTCGCACCTCGAATCGACCCATGGTCAAATACTGATAACAGCTACTTTCAACCACTTCAACGGTGGTTATACGAACCGGTTTGGCCTTATATCAACATCATATACACCACCCGTGTCATTTTGACCATGGCGTTGGCATAGTTTAAGACATAACGACTTGGTATTGTGTTGTTCCTTTGTGTTGACGTTGACTTTTCAATGGCCCACGTTTTTGGCAACCTGTCAATTTTTTCTAGCAATGCATCGCTGGCACTTTACGCTCACTTTCCGTACCGTGTTTTCAAAACATCGCGAAGGCATTGGGCAGTTCTTGCTAGTTAAAAACCTCACGGTTAACTAAACTATTGTATAATACCAGACATGTATGTGTGAAACTGTGTGATAAGCAAGTAATAGATAAAGAGATCAAACAAACTATAGGACAACGAGGTAAAAAGAGGGGTGTGTCGCATTCTCTACACATAGCAAACATACGTGTACTTCTGAAACTAACCAACCGTAAATAACACTTCTTAGAATAAAATGACACTAAATAGTTAGCAATGGTCTCATTTGTATCTTCTAGGGGTTCAAAATCTCATCGTTTGAACATAAATTCTTGGTGTATGTAGAATCTTTTTTTGACACACGGGGGCAAAGTTTAGTCGGGTAAGAGTAAAATAAACGTTAAATATTAACCTTAACAAGAAACTTCTTGAAAGACAGGTAGGCCTAGCTTTGTTACTTATGTACGGATGGTCTGACAATGTGATAGTCTTGTCATGACAAGAAGATTAGTGTCTTACCTGGGAATTAGCGTCGTCTTTTGGTAGGTCAACACGCCTAAATGTGGGACAGGGAAAACACGTACGGTGTTGTTTTGCTATACCACACGGTCATGTGACGTAAATATCGTACGTCAAGCACGTGAAAATGGAGGCGTGGCCGGTATGGAGGCCTCTGATTGGACGGAGAGTCGTGGTAAACAAGTCATGTGATATGGGGCTCTCATTGGCCCTTATATCAAATGACAAAATAGGTGTTTGTTTCCAAAAGGCGCGTCAGAAGAAAAAGACTCTGATTGGTCGACAGTTGTTGATTCTTATTCAGTAACGACAAATAAAGGAAGTTTTGCCATTTCAAAGTGATTTCCTTGTTTTTTTTCTATTTTCAGACCAAAAATGTATATTTTGGGCTCTGTGCCCTGGTATTACAGCAAAAATACCCGATATTTGGTATGGAGATTCCTATAATAACATATGACCACAGGACTAGTTTAATTCACAATTTTAGGCATACTTAACTTCAAAATTATCTATTTAATGATTTATTTCAATTACTAAGTTAAGATGCGTTGTTCAAATTTTCTTGCGAATAGAGATTTAAAACTATGTGCAAAGTTATGTACTATATTTGCCTAACATTGTGTTCAGGCCATGTCATATCGCTATGTATAGCTTGTGAACAATGGGCAGGGCAGGAAAGACCAAAGTACACTTTGCGAACGACGTTGCTAAGCATATATTTATCGATTTTTCCATTTATAATTCGCATTCTTTGGAAGCCATTCTTGGCTACTTGTATTCGTCTTGCATACATGTTTTAAACTTATTCATTTAGTGATTAAACTTTACCATCAAATGCATGACTGCCGACGTTACCTCCTCAGAGTCCGAGAGGACGTCGACGTCCCTAACCGAAGTTAGTTACTCATTAACAAAGTGAGGAAATAGGTGTTAAAATGCCTTTCCCAAGAACACAACAACGGGGCCTGCCTGGGATTCGAACCCAGAACCCTCTGATTCTGAGCCGACAACTCTTGTTTACGGATACGAAAATGTAGTAGAAACACCAGTACTTACTTTCCTTTTCAGGCGATGACTTGTCCCTACCAGGCAACACTCCCCCGTCTACAGAACAACCTGTTACACAAGTCTATCTTCAAACTGTGTGACAGGATGTTTGGAATATACATGTACTAGTATGATGCAGGTGCACGTGTGCGCGATTCTGATTGGACAAGAGCTAGTGACGTAGTCAAAGTTTGGGGGCACTGACCCTTGCTGTCTCATGACCCAATTGTAAGGAGACTAGGTGATAGGCCAGGGACAACCTAGCCTCCATAGCATGCCCAAAACTGTGGTTTGGGGGGGTCAGGGTCTTTGGCTTTTATGTGCTATTTTCTAAATTGCATATAGACAACAAAGTCGGCCTGGTTGAATTACCCCCGTTTTTAGAAGTGGGCTAATCAGAAAACAGCCGAAGACCGCCAAACCCCCAGTTCTATAGTATAAGCCTGCTACGGAGGCTAGGGACATCCATGCTTGACCGAACACACACATTATCTGTTTGCTTTCCTGGTACTTTTCACTGGTATTAGTGGCGTCGAATGTCAAATAAGTGGTTAGGCTAGCAGATTAGAGACTGAGAAGACAGACATAACAGTTATATGGTTGTGTTGACCTATACGAGGAATCTTCTATCTTTTGGCACAATACGGGACTTCAATAAGGGTAATACCTGTACATCACATTACATGTATCTTGTAAATACAAAGGTTCCATATATAACGGTCCGAAGAGATATACATGTAGTACTAGTAACGTTATACGACGCCGGCTATTCTGATGCAACCTTGACCATGCAAACGCATTACGTTCTTGGTACGTGCTGGGACTCACCACCTCCGCACTTAAATAACTTAAACAACAGTACAGAACGCATTCAAAACATGGGATTGATATAGATATTACATTTTTATGCAGAAACCATTCTAGTGTCTATATATGATGTGTTTTTTTACATACAGAACGTTCTAAGAGATACCTTTAACCAAGGGGGTTTATAATCGCCATTGCTGTAACCTTTGGCACAGTTAGCGTTATTGTTTTACTACATGTACTTCTAGTACGTTATGTGGCTGTTTTTATTAGTAGCACACTTCAATCGCAAATAACAGCTGCGACAAGGACGTCAAATTACTAGTAGTAACATTAAATCTCTTTTATAGGAAGAATTCCATCGACGATATTCATCTTTATTTACCGTTATTGCTTTAATATGTGTACTAATTGCACGTTATGTGGCTGTTTTTATTAGTATTATACCTCAAACGCAAACAAGAGCTGTGATAAGGAAGTCAAATTACTAGTAGTAACACTAAAACTATTTTATAGGAAGAACTTTATTGCCAATATTTGGTCCCGAAAAAAACTCATTTGTTACTCTGTGGTTAAATACTGTTCAGCGGTTGTATTGAGCTGACTATTGTATAACTATAGGTCATTTTAATATCGATATCTGATTGTAACGTTGGTGACATGTCAATTTTGATTGCAGATTTTTACATGCACTCTGTAAATCAGTAGCCTCTACCAGGCTTTGGGAGGCGGCTGGAAAGAGTAGAAATCGGCCAAATAGAGAGAAAACATGCCGGGGGAGTTTGTCTGCTGGGAGAGAACATTTTGCCGCACAAAAAATGTTCTCTCCCAGCAGAAAAACTCCCCCGGCATGTTTTCTCTCTATTTGGCCGATTTCTACTCTTTCTAGCCGCCTCCCCAAGCCTGGTAGAGGCTAGTAAATCAGCACAATTCAGTCTCAGTGACTGCAATGTTGATTCTACAATGAAGTTTAATTTTGGAACTACTTGTAAGTTTTACAACCTGCAATGGGGGCCACAAATTCCCGTGTTTCGTAGATACGAACAGCACACATCCGGGATACCAGTGGTTCCGTGACCTTCACTCCCGCGACCTTCAAAAGTACAAAGTCTTAAAAAGGTGATCCAATAAATGGCCATAAATCCAACGTGCAAGTTGTTGTTTTGTTGGCAGTGCAGAAGCGCCGACTAGTGGTTGAAATGTGCAATACAGATCCATATACAATGTATAGATTTCAACAGACTCGATGCTTTGGTATATGATATATATTATTATATAGCCAGAAGGCGTCAACCAATCAGAAGGCTCCGTTTGTCATTGGTTATCAGGCCATAACCTGAAAACTGGTCGGTTATCGGAATAACCGACCACTTTTTGGACCGTACCATTGTACAGGGGACAGAGCAGTAGTAATACATGTAAGACTTGTACTCATTGTAGTATTTATCTATTAAAAATGTATTGTAGGTTATTTTGAATAATTTATCTCAAAATACAACACAAGTCAAAAGATATAAATGAAATTTAAGCAGAAAAAGACTAAACTTAGTTTTGACACCCCCGCTCCGCTCACTGATGATTTATTCAGTGGTTATCGTACCTGACCAGGGATTATCACACCATATACACTTCGGGGTGGGGCATTAACCCTTTATTCAAATGCAACAACTCTTACAGTGCAAAGATATATAAATATATAAAAGAAGTTGTTTTGTTAAATGAAAAAAAATGTCTAAAATCATTATCCCTACTTTATTGTATATTGTATTAGCTCTTGATGTTTAGTAATTAGGATGTTAATTCTCATTATCATATAGCCGGACGGCGTGGACCAATCAGAGGCCCGGATACCCGTGCTGTTATTTCCCGATAACAGCACATGTGGTGTTATGGCGGAATAACAGCACATGTCGTGTTATGGCTGATACCATTATGTTATAGGGTATAGGGGCATGCGACTCTTTCTGTAAACCTTTGTAGCATTTTTCTGTCCAATAAAATTTTTTGTTTAGCTTCATTTAAACTACAATTTGCATTAAATGAAATTATCCATATTTGTTTTAAAGCGTATAATATATTCGAATGTATTTTTATGTATGTATATATATTAAAGCTGTTGTATTTCAAACAGGAATTGTGTTGATTGACAGTTTGGATAGGCTATATGATAATAATTTTAATGCACTGCCTTTTCCTCGTTGTATATGGTGTCATAACTGCATGGGCAGCTGCCATAACCACCTCATAAACCACCTCGTTCGCTTCGCTCACACGGTGGTTTATTCGGTGGTTATGGCAGCTGCTCATGCAGTTATGACACCATATACAACTCGGGGCAGTGCATTAACCCTTTATTATATACCCTTTTCTTTTTTGTACTATGTCCAATAGTCGTTGCCATACATTGTACCATTTATAATTGTCGTGCAATAAAGTTTTTCTATACCTAAAGCTGCACTATGTTTTTAGTCGCTAGTCGGCGCTTCTAGATCTACTTTATTGACTTTTGACACTGAGGCCGCAACTACTTTTTCAACCCACAACTTTAAGATCTTCTTTCTTTCAGCATTGTCATAACAATTGCGATGTTGTAGTGAAAATAAGTTCTTCTATACCTAAAGCTGCACTATGTTTTTAGTCGCTAGTCGACGCTTCTAGATATACTCTATTGACTTTTGACACTGAGGCCACAAGCCATACTTTTTCAACCCACAACTAACTGTAAAATCTTCTTTCTTTCAGCCAGTCATAATAGTTGCGAGGTTGTAGTGAAAATAAGTTCTATACCTAAAGCTGCACTATGCTTTTAGTCGCTAGTCGGCGCTTCTAGATCTACTCTATTGACTTTTGACACTGAAGCCAAGTCAACTTTTTCAACCCACAACTTTAAAATCTTCTTTCTTTCAGCCATTGTCATAACAGTTGTGAGGTTGTTGAGAAAATAAGCGACCCAAAGACTGTGACAGTGCTTTAGTGATAGCTTTTTGGCGCGGTGTTTGTTTAAATGTTGCGCTTTTTTACTTCACCGATGATGCGGAAAATAGCAGCGGCGGCTCGCGTGCGTTCTTCGGCAAGAGGCCGCCACGGTCCCCGAAACACCAACAAACCCTGCACGGTAAGGCAAATACGGGCACACCGGCAGTCGGCAGCGGCCCAAAACAGCCACAAAAACCGCAACCTTAAGATAAGGTACCATTAAGATGAAAACAAACACTGCGTAGTACCTGTTTTGTTTGTTTACTTTAATTTGTTAGCTTCTACCTTCCTGTAAAAAATAACAATTTTTGGCATCAATTGTTCTTTTGTATAAGTTATAACACTCATGTCAACGTTACTACATACAGAAGGTAATTTCTACTTGGACCTAGTAACTTTATCTTTTTCGAATTCATTAAGGCTTAGGGTCAGAATGTCCTTGGGTTTACAGATATTTGAACAATTCTACAACAACCTGTACTTGAGCACGTTGAGGTGGCAAAACAACGTCTAATTCTCTAAATTTCTTGTGCGTGAACGACTTTAGCATTGCTACAAACTCTCACACATGCTGTCCTAACTTTTCGTGCGTATCCTGCCGTAGACTATCCGTTTGTACAAAGAAAAGGTGCTGTAAGCATAGCCCTTTGGGGGGACAAAGAAAACAATGCTTCATTCTTATGCAAATGAGGCGCTCGTGCCGTGATTGGCGGGAGGGAGAACACTAGACAGATCAGCCATGTTGCCTACAAACTATGTGGGGAGATTTTCAGGCAATGTCAAGTTTTGAGCGGCTTTTTCTACTCTTTTAAACCAGGATCGCTGCAAATGAGGTAAGATTTTGATTCTGTGAGATCCTAGAAGGTGTATTCGAGACATTTTGAGGCTGTAAGTGGCACTAAACTGCGAAAAAGACGTTTGTTTTGGAAAAGTATCGGCGTCAATCCGTTTCACAAATATGGCGGCGTTGCACCTGAAGTGGGGAGGGCAGTCTTGCACAGGTAACATTTTTGGCATAGTTCTTCTAAAAACGGCCTTACTGTTAACCCTTACAGCTTCTACAAGTTCAGGCAATCTTTGTTCGTATCCCAAGACGCAGTTTCTGCCTAAATCTTGACTCAAAACACGAAAATCGTGCCTTTTTCTGAAGCAGCGACTCCAGAAAATGCAGGTGGTTTTGTCCTTTTAGGGGACATTTTATACATCTATAATTTAATTTTCCAAAACGTTTTAAGCTGCCAACGCCTCTATAATGTTTCCATGCATCACCTTAGAGTTAGATTTGTACTTTTTGCACATCTAGGGAAGTTTGTTTGCTCATGTTTTACGAAAACAAATGTATGTCTCTTAACCCTTAGCTTAGGGGCAAATTGGGCTGTTCCAAAAAATAACTGTGGAGGGGGGGTGGAAGAGGTCTAAAATCAGCTTTTGGCCCAACCCCCCTGTCCAGTCCAGAATTTTTTTTACCCACCCCCCTGTCCAGTCCAATTTCATTATTTCGACCCATCCCCCCTGTCCGTTCCAGATTTGTTTGACCCAACCCCCTGTCCGTTCCAGATTTGTTTGACCCAACCCCCCTGTCCATTCCAAATTTGTTTGACCCAACCCCCCTGTCCGTTCCAGATTCGTTTTAGCCTTGACCCAACCCCCCTGTCCGTTCCAGGTTTGTTTGACCCAACCCCCCTGTCCGTTCCAGGTTTGTTTGATCCAACCCCCCTGTCCATTCCAGATTTGTCCTAATAATAGTAATATACTAGTACCTGCCTTTTTCATTTTAGGCAACTACGTTTTTGTGTTTTGAATTTGAGCGTTAGTGCATGAGTTGACTATTGAAATCAACTTAAGCTTGTTTGGAGTTTAATATCTTCAGCATTCAACATAATGAGGCAACTGAACTAAGCTTCCACCATGGATTTGAGCATCCTATGATTGTATGAAGAAAAGCACAAAAAAACTGCACTGTGCATTTTCCCTGTGAGGCCCTGTGAGGAAAATGCGGGAAATGCACAGTGCAATTTTTTAGGACTGAGCAAAACATTACAGGATGGCCATGATTTTCCAGAGATTACTTTGGGACATTTCAAGTTGAAACATCTCTCACTCTTCTTCAGTGGCACTAAATCACACTTGAAGGAACTAGGAAAAACAGTTAAACAAAGAGTGAAAGACACATAAGTGTCACTGTTATTGTTATGTAAATGAGGATAAGGTAGATTATGGTAATACTAATACAACACCATAGGAACTGCATGTACTGGAGAGTTCTATGGGAAATCCTCCCTTCCAGTTAGTGGGGTTGTAGCTGCGCCTATAGTATAGATTAGGCCTCCTAGAAATGTCTTGAAGTAATCTCCGTGATAATTTATCCAGTAGTTGAGTTTGATTTGTCTTTGAATATTGTTCACCTGGATGTCTTACCTTCATCAGGGTTATAAAAAGATAAGCTTGACAAAATAATAAGCTTGCGTGCCAGGCAACCTGACGTCTCCATGGCCAAGTCTCAGAAAACATGACTTGTCTGGCAAAAGTGTACATGTGAGAGTGGGTATTTTTTACCCTGCCTGAGTTCTGTCACGGATGAAAAAAATATGACTTGGTAGAAATTCATGACATTATCTTGTTGTATGACAATCAATGTGCAGTTTTATACCATTGTCTTTTTATGAAAGAAGGGAGTGTGTGATATTTCTATGATGCTCTGAGTGCATGAAGAAATTCAACAGAGTTAAGAATCTAGCTGGTTTGGTGGGGAAAACAATGGGAACCTGTAGGGACTTTGTTTGTTCAAGCAGTGCGTTAAAACTGAGTATTCCAGGTCCTTTGGCATTGGGTTTGACTTGAGGAAATCAAAGGAGGTTTTGTTTTAAACATAAGGAGCTGGTTAACTTGAAAAATCTATTTCTAACCTCCTTGTTTTGCTCAACTGCATCAGAGTATTGGTTTTGAAAATAATTCCAACTAGCCTTAGCCCACACCTTCAGTCCTTCAGTGTTGTAAAGAACATGTTTACTGTACTCTAAAAATTAAATCGCGACTTATAATTCTTTTCGGCAAATCAAATCGATGACTTTGTGTAAATCTGACTGTCCTGAACTTTTACCCTAGAATTTTATTTTGGACTGAAGACAGTGAAGTGACTTTGGCCTGAGATAATTTAGCATAATCTGATAACACAACAATGTCTGAGCAAACAATAGGAACTCATTAGGACATGGAGCCAGTAATTAGCATTTCAATGAGTTACTGTAGCTGGTTGTGTGAAAACTGAAATCCTGGTACACCAAAAGTCTAGTACAAGTCGACTAGAACCCTTGGATAGGAAAAGAACCTAAAAAGACTGAAAAGTACTAAGAAAATCAAAGTTTTTTTAACAAATGCAAAATAATTATCCAATAAAGCAGTTCAATTTTAGATGGTCTGTAAAGATTAAAATGATGATAGACCAAAATAATTAGTCTCTACCACTAGTACCAAACTATTTACGAGAATATTTGCCAGGTTAGTTTGGCCACCTTTGGGTATGACTTCTATTAAAGGGTTACTGGATTGTATCCAGAAAGAAACAACCTTCTGCAGACTGACTCCCCAGGCCAATCCTTTGTACCAAAATATATATGCCACAATTTGTATTCCCACAGAAAAGCCTGGTGGAGGCAACAACAAAGCAACAACAAATGTGTCTTATCTGAGAAATTTTACCCATATTTTAGTCAAGTATATATGGCATATGAACTATATGCATTCACTCACTCAGACTCTGGCCAGTCTTTGCTTGCATACAACGAAGGTACTGAGTATCTTGAGCATCTATTATCATAAGCCAGACTGAAAGGTGAGAATTATCCATGGGGAGACTGTTCCTTTCTGCTGTACACAACATAACAATGCAAGGAACTTTGTTAAATCATGCACATATACAGTATGCCCAAATCAGTATTTATTACTTAACTTTTCAGTTTGCAAGAAATTTGTTGTACATTTTTTGTTCATTCATTTGTCCAGGGCTCAAAATTCATTATTGGGAATAGATGCACCGATGCAAACAATTGGGTGTATAAAAGATGTTGGGTGCACTTATATAAAACAAGATTTTTGTAACTGGCGTTAAAAAAGCCTCACACAAAAAGCCTTGCTTCTTGGCAGTTTCTTCTGACTTTGAAGAATCACTATCGGTGTCTTCTTCAACATTGGGCTACTAGAATATTTGGCTGCACTCAGAAAAAGATTGGGTGTACATCTCCAATTTTCGGTGCACCCTGAGAATTTCGAGACCTGATTTGTAGTTTTCATCAAAGCGGGCAAAACAATGGACAGGAGTGAGTGATACCCAGTTCACGTGATTCGTTGTTGGTTAAATACACTCAGATTCACACTCGCACTTCAATATCAATCTAGATAGACTGAAAAGAAAATCAAACACAGTTTTTATTCTTTTACAAGTTACAAGAGCATTTGCAAAACAACCTATGCAATTGACTCCATATTCAGTTGAACCAAGGAGCTTATACTGAGTTATAGTTATTGGGCAACTAGATAAAAAGGAACAAAAATAATATATTTGACAGACAAGTTGCAATCTGCACAGTCACCTTACCATGCATGACATATTTTTTAGATCAACAAAGAAGTTAGGAAGTTATTATAGTGATTCATAGATGGAAAGAAATTAACCTTGAAGTATGGTACATAACAACTGAGAGAAACTGTTTGGCTAAAATTCAACTGATCCTTTTGTTATGCAAACTATTGAAAGAGAATGCTGGATTAACTTGTTTACTTTACAACACTTGCTTGTTAACTTTACAGTAACCAACTAATTACTTATGGTAAAAATGTTGTTTCAGATAAATTTTGAAAAGGAAAAGGACTTTTAGTTTCCTACTATTGCATCTATATTTGCATGTAAGAAAGAATAAATCTATAATCTGCACTTTATCCTATATAACAGGACTAATTTGAGGAGCGCACAAACCATCACTATTTACAGAGATGTCTGGCAGTATAAACTTCCTGGCACTCATAACCTGATGTCCATAAGGTCTGATATGTGATTTAGCTGTTTGGTCACTTTAATTTTGAAAGGTGTGGGACAGTTGAAAATTAGATGCGTTAACTTTAAGTTAAAGCAAATTCTATCTCTGTACTACAGTATGTACATCTTATGTAGACTATATGAGAGTGGTATGCATATTGAATCTATGTTTATGATTGTATGAAATACTTATTATGTCCTTTATCCAGCAAAAAATCATTCTCCAACCTTCAATTAAACATCTAAGACTGTTCCAAGAGATAAAAATCCTAACCATAAAACACCCAATACACCCACTCCAGTCTGGCTCCAACCCGGGTTAAATTCTTTTACCCAACCCCCCTGTCCGTTCCAGATTTGGTTGACCCAACCCCCCTGTCCGTTCCATATTTAGTTGACCCAACCCCCCTGTCCGTTCCAGATTTGGTTGACCCAACCCCCCTGTCCGTTCCAGGTTTATTTGACCCAACCCCCTGTCCGTTCCAGATTTGGTTGACCCAACCCCCCTGTCCGTTCCAGATTTGGTTGACCCAACCCCCCTGTCCGTTCCAGGTATTTGACCCAACCCCCCTGTCCAGTCCAGGTATTTGACCCACCCCCCCTGTCCAGTCCAACCTCTTCCGCCCCCCATTCTCCTTTATTTTTTGGAATAGCCCATTTAGAGTTACAACTTTTTTTTGCATAAAAGAGCTGCATAAAATACACATAAGTTCTGTTATCAAGTGACCATATGTATTGCTAAAGCTTCTTGGACCGTTTTTTTCCCAAATATTCCTTCTGCAAAGTCTTTAAGAAGTTGTT